ACTGAACTTTTTCCAAAATGTATTATTTATGTTTCAATCGCAAAACAATTTACTACCAAAATACTTTTGAAAAAATCACAAACACCCAACAAAGTACTCTTTTCCAAACTTTAACATTCCAAAGACTTTACTTAAAATAACTGATTTCTTTATCTTATCTCTAGGACCACTGCTATGGAATTCGATCCTTAAAGAAGAAATAAAAAACATAAAGTCATCAAATCTCTTTAAAGCAGCTGTCAAACAGCACCTATTTAACTTAAGTGACGTCAACATACTCTCCTACTTTTAGAGATCAAATAACTAAAACAAACTTATCCCTTTTGGATGACCACAAACGATGATTACATCACAATACAAATAATTTTTCTTTTCCGTTGTATAAAGTTTTGTATAAAGTATAAATTCTGTTGTATAAACACTTGTATAAAGAACAACAATATTTTAATTCTTATAAGTTTTTCTACTCTAAAATAAACAAAGTAAATAATCAAAACACAACATTCTCTGCAGCCATAATATAAACAGAATACACTATAATATAAACAAGGTTCTTCATGTATCTTCTTCTATAAGTCGTAATGGTTGACGAATTACTCTTGAGGATCTATGTGTGTCTTTTCCAGGTGTTATTAATAATAACAGATTGATCGGACAAGCATCATTGACAAGATTTTCAGCTAGTGGAGGTTGATAAAGGGGAGGCTGATTAGGAAAGTTTGCAGGATTGGTATTGGTAAGTTCATATTTCTCAGGTGTTAATGGTTTATAGGGGTAAGAAGGTTTATTAAAAGCATTCTCTGGTGAAGGTTCAATATTATTAAAGACATTCTCTGATGAAGGTTCAATATGATTTGTTTGATCAATGATCGGAGCAGAACTTGTTGGAGCTAAGTGTCTTAGGGAAACTGTGGTTTCTCTTCCATCTGGATACTTTATGTGAGCATATTGAGGATTAGCATCTATGAGTTGCACTTCGTCTACCAGTGGTTCATACTTATTATTACGTAAATGTCTTTTCATTAGTATTGGTCCAGGATGACTTAACCATGAAGGTAAAGTGCATCCAGAGGCTGTTTTACGAAGGTGCTTAAACATTCTTTCATGAGGTGTCTCCATTGTTTTAGTATTTACTAAGGATCTTATAGAATGGAGAACGTCTAATAGCAATCTCAATAGACTTCATTATGGTTCCATTATACTTTTCAGCTTGTCCATTCCCTTGTGGATTATATGCTGTAGTATGACTTGTCGCAATACCTTTCTCTAGTAAGTATTGTTTTAATTCTTTACTGATGAAGGCTGAACCTCTATCGGAATGGATGTAACTTGGCAAACCAAAAACCGAGAATACTTGTGACAAACACTTAATTACAGTCTGAGCTAAAATATCAAGGTACGGGATTGCAAAAGGAAAACGAGAATACTCATCAATTATGGTTAAAAAATACTTGTTATTAGTTTCCAAAGGAAGAGGTCCTTTAAAATCTAAGTTCAAACGTTCCAGTAGTTGTGTCGCCTTTTCAAATTCAAATGAGATTTTAGTGGTTTGTAGTATCTAGGCTTACATTCACAACATAGTTTGCACTGAGTAGTTATTCCTTTAACATCATCAATTGAGAAAGGTAAATTACGGTTTTTAATAAAAGCATAAAACCTAGTTACTCCAGGATGACAGTGAATGATGAAGCTGAATTAAGTTATTAGTGTTTATTGCTGAGCAATGTACACTAGAAAATGTGTCAGCTGGAATATTTAGTTTCCCTTCCCTGTAAACAATGTCATAATTATAGCACGATAGTTCAACTTTCCATCGATAAATTTTATCATTTTTAATCTTTGATTTATGTTGCTTTTCGAAGATATAGGACACAGGTTGCTGATCGATAATAAATTCAAAATGGTATCCAGTAAGGTAGTGTTTCCAAAAGCTGTAAATTTTCTATCATTTTTGGTAATTGGAATTTGATGGTAGGCTGATTTCAAATCAACTGTACTAAATATTTTGTATTGAGCAATTTTGTTTACTAGATCATCAATCCTTGGTAATGGGTAAGCATCTAGTTGAGTATACTTATTTATTGTTTGACTGTAGTCAATAACTAATCTTTTCTTAGAGCGTTCTCCTTTAGTTACAACTACCTGAGCTCTCCAGGGAGAATTTGCATGTTCGATAATGCCCTCTTTAAGCATATGTTGTACTTCCATTTCAATGAATAATTGGTCTTCTTTGCTATATCGACGAGATTTTAAAGCTATTGGTTTACAGTTAGGCGATAAATTGCCAAATAAACTAGGAGATACATTCAACTTTGACAAACCACAAATTAATAGTGGAGGTCTTTTTCTTTCAAACTTATAGGTTACAGCTTTGTGTTGTTTTTGAAAATCGAGACCCAGAATAACATCCATGCATAACTCATTTAAGATGTTAAGTTTTACTAGTTTATAATGCTCATTTTTTATTGAAATTTGTGGAGTAGTTTTTTGACAAAAACTACTCCACAAATTGTACTAGATAAAGATGATAAAGCCATAGTTGTTTTTGGTTTTGTCTAAGAACTGTTAGGTTTAGTTTTTGTACCAACCGAGGGTGAATAAAACTATCAGTGCTACCACTGTCAATGAGAGCATTTACAAATGAACCATTAATCAACATGCCAATTGTTGATTTAGTCAAAGGTGAAAGGTGAAAGATTGATCAACAAGGTTCATCCGTGCTGTTGTAAGTTTAGAAGATTTACATAACTTGGCAAAATGAACAACTTTCTCACCTTTAAAACAAATCGACTCTCTAGTAGGACAGACAGCTTTAGCATGTCTTTGATTCCCACAGTTCCAGCAATTTGAAACAGAATTTGAGTTAAATTGCTTTGGCTTTTTTGTTATTGCAGCTACTGTTGTATCTGATGTACTATACTGGAGGTAATTTTTAAGGTTTTAGCTTTTGAAAATATTTCCTCCAGACTTATTGTACTGTTTTCTAGTAGTCGCTGTCTGACAACCTGTGAATTTATCCCTGTTATAAATGCATCTCTAATATATTCATCGTGATATTCAATAGCAGACACCTGTTTAAAATTACATTCTTTTGCTAAAACTTTAAGAGCATGTAAATACTCATCAAAACTTTCTCCTGGCTGTTGTTTACGAGTTGCCAAGAGGTGTCATGCATAAACCTCATTTGATGGTTTGATGTACACAGATTGTAAAGTTTGTATTGGTGCTTCATAATTTGGACATTCGCTTATTATTTCATAAACATCGGGCACAACAAAATTAGTCAGGATTTTTAACTTATTGAGTTCTTAAGGGAGTTCATCAAGATAATATTCAAATGTTCTGAGCCAATGTTTAAATAATTTTGTTGTAGAAGGTGAGTTTGGTAATGAATCCAAGCAAGAAGGTCTTAGAGCTCTATCCATATTTTATTTTGATAAGAGTAGAAAATTGAAACACTTGTATAAAGAACAACAATATTTTAATTCTTATAAGTTTTTCTACTCTAAAATAAACAAAGTAAATAATCAAAACACAACAATACCCATCTATCAGATTGTTATGTACAAGGTTTTGTTTTTTATGTACAAGGCTAAGCATTTGCTTTATTTCTACTTATGAATTTTTAATGTCACGTTAAGCTCACATGAAACTTATTGCAACGTCGCAAATGAAAGGGGCTAAATGATAAGACTGCAGTCTTCTACTTGCTCCTGTCATTATTTTAATTTTTATTTTATTTACAAATGTATACATGAATTAAAGTTAATTGTATGTAAAATATATAGTGACAAAAATGAAAAAAAAAAAAACTTGTGAAAAAATCAATTATATATATATAACCAGCAAAAAAATTCATCAAAGATTCTTCTTCTTATTCAGAAAGAGTTTAGAGATCATGAACAACTTGTTTCCAATGTTTTTCATATTGTTTATGGTAAGGAAGCACATAAAAACATATTGTTAATAAAATTCTAAGCAGAAAGCACCTTTATTTTAAAATGTTTTTTTGTGTCTAAATGAATTTACGTTATAAGAATTTCTAAATAACTCTTTTAGTTATTTAATATTATTTAAAGTCATTTTTATAAAAAGTTGTTTTATGTAATTTTTCCTATTTTTTCTTCCAATAACAAATATAGAAAATTTGTATAAATTTTCTATATTTAAAATATTCTTCATCAAAATCATCCAAAGTTTTTGAAAAGAAAAATTTTTTTCAAAAACTTTGGATGATTCGAGAATTTCGTGTTGCAGTTTTGTCAGTTTTCAAGCTTCTTTTGTGAGAATACTGCTTATGTTTTGTTAGAACATCATTCATACTTGATCACCATTCTTTATGGATTCTTTTTCGCAGCTTTTTTGTTATGACAATTTTTTTTTTGTTTTTTTTTTTTTGTTTTTAGTACTCTTTTGATTTTTACCAACCTAAATTTTAATGTTTAAAAAATATTGGAATAAATTATTAATGTGCAAATTCAGATAAAACTATTGATTAGTTGTTTCAACTGTTTAATTAATTAAAATAAATATCTTCATATTATTAACAAAATTAGTATAAGGGAAGAATAATATTGATTAATATAGTTTTCCAAATAACATTAAATTCACACTAGTATTTAAACCGTTTTTTTCTTTATAGATAAATTTTGAAAAATTGTGTCAAACTTGAAACTTTAATTGAAATTTGCAACCACTAAAAAATTTTTATTTTTTAAAATGTTAAATTTTCTTGTAACTTTAGATATTACTATATATCATGAATTTCACCAACAAAAAGTGATTTTATTATTAATACACAAACATATGATTTTAAATTCAATTAATATGGCTGAATATAAACTTATATTAAAACCAAAAAATACATTTTTTTTATTTTTTGCCAGCCTAAGACTTATACTTGATGTTGATGTGATAAGAAAAATCAAGTATAAACATCTATATAATACTTGATAACACTGATAACTTATTCTATAAGTGGAATTTATTATTAAAAAAACCTGAGTAAAATGACCAGTAGCTAAATCACCATCTTTATCAAAATCATAACCAGGCGAGCAAACTTCTGAATACCTTTTAAAATAAACCATGATATTTAGTTAGATTTATATTTATAATTATAATTATTATAATATATACATATATATATATATACATATATATACATATATATATATATATATATATATATATATATATATATATATATATATATATATATATATACAGCCCTCAGAATTAGGGTCGGCATTCGGTAATGCCAACCTAATTGCCAGTGGAAAAGTCTTTGTGGTCGGCCAAAAACTTGCTGATTGCATTTCTATTTTATGGCAAAACCTTTGTATTAAATTTTTTTAGCCGACCTGATGCAGATATATATATATATATATATAAACACACACACACACACACATAACTCTAAGAGCATACTTAAATCAGCAATCTGATGTCATTCTGAAATAGGAAGTTGCTAAGGGCTACAGTACATACATTGACTGATATGGGGAGAACATAAAAAGAAGTTGCTGCTGAGATTTTGCATTGATTTAGGGTTTTTTATTAATTTTTGTTTTTTTTTTCTTTTTGCAATAAATTAATATGGATGCAAAAAAAAAAACAGCAAATAAATATCTATATATACTATAAATTAGTTTTAAAATGATTTCAAAAAAGGAAAATCAATATAAATATTTAATATTAATAGTACACCTTGTGGTAGATCTCTCAATAAATTAGTTTAAAATTAAATTATTTGAAGGAACATTTTCTTTTTTTTTTTAAACATCTTCCTTTCCAACTAGGCTGCAAGCAACCACTATTAGAGTTGGAAATTACTGGAAGTGAAAATATGAAGTTTATAAAGCAAGATAACGATTGATAGACGGTTTAAAAGATTGCAAATTATATGAAGCAGGAAAGCAAGATAAACGAAGCGAGTTCCAAAGGACTGATGTTCGAGGAAAAAAACTAGACAAATAAGAATTATTGGAGCACTTAGGAAAAGTCACAGAAAAAAAGTGTGTTTTAATTTAAGATTCAAAAAAAAAGTGTTTGTTAATTAAAGATTCAAAAACCTTGCTTATAATAAAGATAAGACTAATGGGAAAACAAGACTCTGATAAGTACTTGTTAAATAGTTTTGAAAGTATAGACGACAGTTATGAAGAACACTTCTGCAAGACTACAACAGGTATGTTATCTGGACCACAAGCTGTAGAAGAGTCTAAGCAGGAAATCACTTTAGATACAGAAGCTGGAGTGATACGAGTGTCAAGCAATGGATCAACCTGTTTGTTGACAATATCAGGTAGAACACAATTAGTGGAATCAAAAGACAATATTGATGAAGAGTTCTTAGCAAACATGCCCTGTACAAGAGAGATGGAATAACAGTCTTGCGATTATTGATACTGTTAAAGATTCTCCAGAAGTCATAAGAGCCTAATTTTTGAGATGAAATACCAGATTTCATGACTTGAGAATAACAAACTTTGGCATCAGACAAAATCTTTTTGCAATGGTTTCTAGCAATGTAGTAAACAAACGTCTGTTTTTTGGATATGGAAGTAATTGCTTTGATTGGAAATTGCAGCAGCATAATGTGAGGTAAACCAAAGAGAAGAGTGAGGCTTGACTTGGAATGGTCAAGAGGAAATGCCATGCCAACCTGAATTTAAGAAGTTATGTATGAAGCACATTTGTCACCAGAAAGACGAAAGAAATCTACCCAAGGACCATCACGAAGAAAATCACTGAAAGAGTTCCAGTCAGCTTTAAGGTATTTGTAATAGGTACAATTATACGGGAATTCTGATGATGAAGAAGAATGAGATAACATTTTTAGAGATTAAACCGTGATCAGAAGTACCTAAGGGTGAATATGGAGAAACTGAGCATTGAGTAGAATAAGAAACAAGACATAGGTCCAGTAGAGAAGGTAAATGATTCAGGTTGTCTGGAAAGCAAGTTGGAAAGTTGACTATTTGAGTTAGGGATTGAAAAAGGCAAAAGTTGTGGGCCATAATGCCTTCAGAGTCACTAACACTAGAGCCTAGCCATTCAGTGTGATGAGCATTAAAGTCACCAACAACAACGATATTGGCTGATGGATAAAGAAAGAGGGCTTGGTCAATTTGATCAGAAATAACATCAAAAAGAATGCAGTCTTGAGATATATCAGAGCGATATAGAACAAAGAGAAAGACAATAGAGTGAAGTGGTGTTAAACAAAAGCACATAAACAAACAGTCAGTGGATTCAAACCTAGTTGCCTGACAAATGGGTGAATTCTTACAAATGTATATGCCCAGGCCAAGTATGTGACTATTTGAGTCATTACAAATTAAAGGAAGATAACCATCAACACTAAGATCACAAGATGAGACAGCCTAACTCAAATTAGTCTCATAAAGAGCAAGTAGGTCTGGTGAATTTTGCAAGAGATAAGACAGAAGAAAAGCTACTTCGAAGACCACAAATATCGGTGAATGATAGGTGTAGAGAACTTGGTGATGATGATGGTTTTTTGTGTTTTATAGTTTTTGATTATTATTACTTTTTAATATTATTTAACGGGTGGTTACTAAAAATCCGGACAAACTTTAACTGAATTTTAAATGCCACAAGCTAAATCTTTTTTAATCATGTTTATATCCATTTTATAGCTTATTTAATTCTCTATAAGTTAATTTTTTTTTTTTTTAGATAATTAATAATAATTAAAAAAATAATGATGACCAAGCAAGAAAAGGTAGGAAAACGGATTTACGAGTTCTATTTGAATAATAAATTGCAAGGTAAAAAGTTCACAGTAGCTCACTTCAATGCTGAAAAAATCCCAAGAAGCACTATCTATGATATAATCAAACGTGTTGAGAATGATTCTGGGCACAAAAGAGTGCAAGGAAGTGGTCGTGTGGCCAAAATCATGACCCCTAAGAGGATCAAGCGCCTGAAAGCCATATTTGATCACAGTGACCGAGTTTCGATGAGGCAAGCTGGTCGAAAAATTTGGATGCAGTTATTCACATATCATTAAAACTCTTGCCAAGTACACTGACATCAAAAGTTATACAAAACAGGGTATACCTCATCGACAAGAGAACCAGAATGAGCGAATCAAAACTGGCATTGATCGTCTTTATCGCGTTTTTAAAGGAAAATCGGTCATCCTTGACGATGAGTCTTACTTCACGCTGTCACACTCGACAATTAATGGAAACAGCACCTACTACTCTAGCAACAGAGACAAGACTCCACCAAGTGTTAAATATTGCAAAAAGCGCAAGTTCGAACCCAAGGTGCTTGTCTGGCTGACCGCTTCTGACAAAGGTGTTTCAAAACCATTTTTTATACCCAGCGGCCTTGCAGTCAATAAAGCCATCTATGAAATGAATTGTATTAGGAAAAGATTAGTGCCGTTCATCAACGCTTATCATGCCGATGGTAATTACATATTTTGGCCGGACCTGGCTTCATCGCATTATGCCAAAACCGTGACCAGCTGCTACGAGACTCATAACATCAATTTTATCAAAAAAGTTGACAATCCGCCAGCCGTACTGGAGTGTCGCCCAATGGAAGACTTTTGGGCTATTTTGAAAGGCAAAGTGTATGAGAGTAACTCGCAAGCAAAAGACGTGAAACAACTACGAACCAGAATAAAGTTTTGCCTGAAAAAAATTGACCTTAACCTTGTATTTTCACTTTTTGGGTCAACTCGTGTTAGAGTTGGCCAAATCCGAAGAAACAGACTGGTTGAAGACAAACTTAATTAAAATAAATAAATAACTAAAAACTCTTTTTAATGATAGTTTTATTTAATCTCTACCATAAAAACTTTGAGAGTAATTGCACTTGAAAGTTTGTCCCAATTTTTAGTAACCACCCGTTAGCAGCACATGTTTCACTAATAACTCTACTGATCGTAGAAGAGCCGATTCTGTAACTTGCAGCAATAGTACAAGGAATCTAAGTGCTACAGCCAACCTCTGACTTGGGCTTACAGGATCTTTCATAACAGTTTTTTGTTTCACAATGGTAGGTGCTACATACAAAAGCAAATTTTTGGAGACATACGAAAGTACTTAAAAAAAAATTCTTGGTCATGCAAACCTAAATCTTGAACTAATAAATGTAACTCTCCACTCTGAAGTCATTCAGCATAAATTTTCTTTACCCAAAATCGTTTCTTATTCTTTTTCTCTTTTTTAATTTACAACCTCTTTAAAATAAATATTTTTCTTCGAATCAACAACTTTTTTCTAATCAACATGCTTTCCAACAAAGCGCACTAACAGTTTCACTGGCGAAAATTAAACTTTTGACTCTAGAAAAAATTAGCAACAAAAAAATTCACTTTGCACAAATTAATTCACTTTGTGGAAATCCGTCTTAAAAGAAAACTATTTTTAATATTTATAATTACATTAGGTTTGAATTACTCTAAAAAACTTGGTTTGACAAGATTATAACTGATTTTTATATTATATGGAGAATATATATGGAAATATTTATATGGAAAATTTTTTTTAATGTCTAAATAAAAATATTTATGTTTATTTTTTAGTTATTTATGTATTTTTATATACTGTATTGTATGCTGATTATATATAATTTTTATATAATCAGCACTGAGGTTGGTGAGGATTTTGGTTCAAATATTTTTATGAACTTTTATTTATAAAGTTTTTAATTGTCAAAGTAGTTTTATGTATTTTAACTATTGCATTGTGACATAGCAACAGGATTGTAGTAGTTACAAAAGCAGCAGTAAAAATGTATAACCCTCTTGTTCTTTATATATATAAATATATATATATATATATATATATATATATATATATATATATATATATATATATATATATATATATATATATATATATATATATATATATATGTTATATATATATATATGTATATATATATATATATAACATTTTATATATACATATATATATATATATGTATGTATAAAATGTTATATATATATATATATATATATATATATATATAATGTTTAATACTCTGATTCCAAGGTAGAACTGAAACCATCGTTGATTTACAAAGATTTACTGCTGCTTTCGTCACTACTATAATACTGGTGCCATGTTACCATGCAATGTAATAGTTTAAATACATAACTACATTAAAAATTAAAAACTTTCCAAATAAAAGCTTATATAAAAAAATTCAAACCTGAAACCACATCGACCTCAGTTCTCTTATTATATAAGCATGTAAATTTAAATATTTAAACTTTATTATACTATTTAATTATTATACTTATTATAATTATAATATTTTTACATCGAGAATATTATTTATACTCATGTACAAATAACATGCTCACATATAGAATATATTATTATAATTTATTAACTATTAAATTAACTTTTTGATAATTTAAATAAAAATTTTAATTTTATTTAAATTATCAAAAAAATATTATCAAAAAAAGTTTTTTTATTACTAAATGATCAAATGATAATTTGTTTTTTGTTTATCACTAAATGACCATTTGATCATTTAGTAATAAACAAACATATAAGTTTTTTTTTATTTAATAGAGTTTGCTTTATACTATAAAAGATCAAGGTTTTATAGTCATTTAACCTTAACATAATTATAAACATAATTAAAAATAATTTGTTTTTTATATATATATATAATTTATCTTGTTCATAATTTATTTTTTTGTTGTTGGTTTTTTTCAGTGCATTTTTAAATATCTAAAGAGCTGTGGTCAAGCTTTCAAATATATATATATATATATATATATATATATATATATATATATATATATATATATATATATATATATATATATATATATATATATATATATATATATATATATATATATATATATATATATATATATATATATATATATATATACATATATATATATATATATATATATATATATATATATATATATATATATATATATATATATATATATATATATATATATATATATATATATATATATATATTTATATATATATATATATATATGTATATATATATATATATATATATATATATATATACATATATATATATATATATATATATATATATATATATATATATATATATATATATATATATATATATATATATCATATTTTGTGACCAATTCAAATAAAAATGATAAGATCTGAAAAGGTTATGAGTTCTGTCTAGTTCCAATCCTGTCTCTGCCAAATCAGCACATGAATAGTAAACAAATAGTTTTTCAATATTAAACTTTTATGAAAACTGTTTTCATATGTCAGAATAACTGTGATATGAAAACAAGATAAAGTTAATAGAACAAAAAAATTTCCCTTTTTAATGAAAAAATTATCAACAGTAGGTATAATTTTATTTTTTATTAACTGATTATTTTTTATAATAATTTTTTAAAAATCAGAACTCACCAATTTTTAACTGCTTCAGCTGCCGACATTTCTGTACCAGCTGAATTGCACCCATAGGCTAAATTTTCTCCTTGTCCATTAAGATCTGACGCATGTTGCAACTTTTGAATATCTGCTAAATGTTCTGCATATTTCTGGGCATCAGCTGATAGTTGTGGATTTAATTTCATATCTGGAGCATTGTGTATTTTACGCAAAATATTGTGTGCTTTGAGACCAGATTGATCAAAAGAGTTTTGATTATTACTACTTCCCTTACTTTCACTATTTGGTAAAGCATTTGGAATTGCAGCAGGGGAGTTTGAGTTTGAAGAACTTGAAGCTGAAGAGTCAGAAGAAGACGTTGAATCACTTTGACTTCCTTGCTTAGATTCACTTGGTTGAACAACAGAGCTAAGTAAATTATCTAAACTATTGCATGTCTTTTTTTTATCGAACGATCCTTCAAATACATTTTTTGTGAACTGAGTAAGCATGTTGCCAGCTGGTTTATATCTACCTACAATATATGTGCACAACATGCCACCCTTCTTTGATGTTGCTTTGCCCATACCAAGCTCAGTGCTATCTTTCCAAACAACCTAATTAATGCAATTAAAAAAAATATTATAAACATTATAATAGGTATATCTTATACCTTACATCTTAATTAATTCTTAAAAAAGTCTTAATTATAAAATTTAATTAAAACTGTTTTGAAAATAATAGTTAGAAAAAAGCACTAGAAAAAAACTGTACCTGAGTGAAATGACCAGTACCAGAACCTCCATCTTTAGTAAAATCATGCCCTGGAGAGCAAACCTCAGCATACCTAAAATTTATCAGTATGTGCTAAAAGATTGGTTCTTAAGGTACTTTTAAAAAAAATTACAACTTTTAAATTATAAATAATCAAAGATCTATCCCTTAAAATTATACAATAACTTGAAGAAAAAAAAAATTAAAATCTATATAAAAAAGAAAAAAATAATAAAAATCTATATAAAAACTATAATTATAGCATAATTTACAGAATCATGAATTACAAATATTTTAAATTTTCTATAATATATTTAACAACTTAAATTACAAAAATTAATATAAATTAAAAAAAAACCTAACAATTTAAAACCAAAAATTAAACCACATATTTACTATATATATAATTACTATTTGATTTTTCTTAGACATAACCTAGTAAATACAGATTGGTTCAGAGTTTGTCAATATTTAGTCAAAATCTGTCAAAAAATGGATAAAATGTTTAGCAACCTATTATTGACTAAAAATTGATGCTTGATTTACGTTTCAAACTTTTTTATATATACATTTACTAAATGTCAATCTAACGTTTAGAGTATCTAAATATTTATTAAACATCGATCAATGTTTATTAAACATTGATGCGTTTAGTAATAATTAAATGTAATTAATAATTTTTTTAATGTCAAAAATAAACATGGATAATACAGGAAATTTTGGAAAACTTCCATTCAGAAAATCCTCTATATGTAAAGGTGTTGTGGTCAATTCCAATTTGATTTTCGAATATATATTTTAAATGCTAATTATTTTATCCTAGTTTTTTGCGGTTACAAAATCAGACTATCAGGATTTGAATGTAAAGATTGTTGCACAAGAACAAACGCATGATAAACAAGCGGTAGATGGTATACTAGGAAGATTTTTGATAATGCATAAACCAAAGAAAACAGTGATCCAAAATATATGTTTATGAGTTAATCAATTATTATTTATTTTATATGTTTATAAGTTATCAATTATTATTTATTTTATATGTTTATGAGTTTATCAATTATTAATTATCTTTAACTTAACCCTAATTTAACCTTTTATTTTCTGCTAATGAGATTAAATTAAAAAAGTAATTGATAGAAGTTACTACTATAAAATTTTTATTGCAAATGCTTGATCATTTAACTTTTTTTTTTAATTATCGAAGCATAAGCAAGTGTAGTGCATGAACATTTTTTTTTTAAGTTCCCACTATATGAAAACGTTTTATATAAGTTTATAGTTTTATATATGTTTATAATTTTATATTTGGGATATTTGTCTGTGGAAGATGCCTGGGCTAGCTTTCTAGTCATAAGTCAGTTCTAAATCCATGAATAGGTGTTTAATCCATCATGGTTCTCTGGAGTATGGCTGGGCTGGCTTGGTTTAGTTCAAAGACAAATCTTTTACGCTGGTTACTAACAATACAAGACTATACTGAACGACACAAACAGACTTATACATTACACCTATACACCCTTATGCACATACAGCCTGTTTACATCGTTTGCATGCTTTTTGTTCTTTCATAGATAAACTATCTTTGTTTGAACTCATCCTTATTTAAATAATATTTTCTTTTAACAGATAATATGTGGTTGAAATGTTGATATAGATTTGTATGTTATCTATATGTGTTTATCATGTGTGATTGAATTATAGCCTGTCTTATTTATTTTTAAATATTCCTCTATTAATCTTTATTTTTGTCTTGACAACTGTCAAAATATGATTTGTCTAATAAATAATTCTCCTTCATTCTAATGTACTTCATTTCTTCCTTCAGGTGTTCACTGCTCGTGTGTGACCATTCGGCGAATTTTATATGCCAAAGTTTTTAAATAATTTTATAATATAGAAGAATAGTATAAGTAGTGTAGTAATTTATGTAAGTAAAATTTATATAAGTTTTAAAAATTATATAAATAAAATTTATATAAGTTTTAAAACTTACATAAATTGAAATTGCGTTAATTAAATTCTAATAAAAATCTACACATATCTAAACATATTTTTTTCTGATACAAATAATATGACTTTTTATATTTTAAACAGTTTTTTACAACTTTGAAGTTTTAAATTTTTCAAGGACTGTAAAATTTTACAACTTACTTAAATAAAAAATTCTTTTATTTTAATAATCTCCATAAAATTCTTTGAAAACTAGTTGAAAATAAAAATAAATATTTTTCTTTAATTAGTAGGATCAATAAGATTTGCTTCGAATAATAAAGAATAATAAAGATTGCATAATAAATAATAAAGAATAATAAAGATTGTAATAAATAATAAATAATAAAGAATAATAAATATTGCATAATAAACTAGTTTTATTGATTGAGTTTTAGAATTTTTATACTTTGAATATTGTGGAATAAATTACACACAAAAAAAAATATTTCTTTATCGTAATCACACAAATAATAATAATACAATTAACTAGTTTTTTTAACTTTTAGTGGAGCAAGATAATCTTAAAGTCATGTCCCTTTATACTTGTGAGACATGGGTAGATTAATATTGTTTAACTCCTTATATATTCTATTGTTTTGACTTTTTTTGTAATTTACTTGCAAAATCATTTGGAAAGTTGTAACTTGATTAAAACCAATTATTTTTTTGAATATGTAAATATTCAACTTCTTTTGTCTCAAACTTCTTTTTTGTAGTTGGATGAAAAAGTGTCCATTTCGTTTAATCTTATAAAAGTTTAAAAGAAGTTTAAAAGTTCTAATAAAAGTTTAATATACATTTAATTTGACAAAGCCTAAAAGCTTTATATAAGTTAATTAGACTAGACTAGATTTAAACTTAAATTAGACAAAATCTAAACGCTTTATGTGTAACAATTTTATAATAGACGTCTAAAATACGTTAGAATATTAAGATTTTATGGAAGTTTGTTCTAAATGTTAATCTGGATTTCATTCTAAATGGATAATTGACCAAATCTAAATGCTTTTTTGACATATTATTTTTATTTTTATTTTTTTATTTTAATTCACCTCCTCAAGGCCGAGAAGGCCACTACAGACGAGGAGGCTACTTATTTGCAGTAACAACCCTCTCTCAACTCTATAACTCCCAAACAGGAACCTTGACAAACGAGGCCGCTGCGCGGAGAAACAAGTTGAGCGTGGTACTACCAGGGACGTGGTGGGAATCGAACTCACAACCACTCGTTTATGAAGCGAGCGCTCTACCACTACACCACTACCGCATTAAATAAACAATTGTGTGTTTACTGGGAAATCAAATTTAAAAAAGAAAAAAAAAGAAGAAGAAATGGAAAAAACAGAAGTAATGACAATAACAGATAAACCAACCGAATAGGCAAATTTTTTAGTTGTTATGAAAAAACCGAGTTTTTACAATAAGAAAAATTTTTTACCTACAAGTCCATTGTCTACTTATATATATAGGTTTACACATTTATCTTAACTTATATATTTATCACAGGTTTTTAACAAAAAATCAGAGACAAAGATTTTGAATGATTATGCAGAAACGGATGTTAAGATGTTAAAATCTGTTGCACAAAAGATTATGATGATAAAATGATCAAATAAATGCTCTAATATTTTTCAGTTTTTTTTTTATTTATTTCAAAATCCAATACAAAAAAGTAAAACATGTGTAATGAGGAAAAAATACATAAAAATTTTTTTAAGAAAATTACAAAAATACTTTTTCATATTATTATCTCATAATCTATGATACTAGCTCAACTGAATTAAGCAACATTCAAAAAAAAGTTTTTGGAAGTACGCTTTGAATCTGAATGTTTTCATTGATATACTGAATAGAAAGTTTTCACTGAATGGCAGAAAGTTTTCACTGAATGGCAGAAGATTTTCACTGAATGACAGAAAGTTTTCACTGAATAGCAGAAAGTTTTCACTGAATGGCAGAAAGTAACTGTTCTTATTACTCACAAATTATTAGAAAATATTATAACAACAACCTTCACAACAACCCTAACAACAACCCTAACAAACACTTTCCAATGTCGTAAAAAAATACTAGTAAAACTTCAAAAATATAATTTGGCTTTGGGTGACAATAAAAAGAAAATTCATGATGAGTCATTGAAAATGCACACTAACAAAAAAGATTAAAAATCGTGAAAGATTAACAAAGTACATGAAGTAAAACTGACACTTAATAAAACACTATAAAATGTCAAAAAATCTTAATTATGTTTAAATTGTCGGAATTATGTTTAAGATCGATAAGACCAATATAAGAATAAGAGAAATTGTACTTTTAAACAAATATATATTTTTTACTGCGTATTGTTAAACAAAAAGATTTACTCAAACTAAGTATGATAAAAAATCTCTTTGGATCTGATTTCTTTCATTGAAATAATCTTTCAAATAGATTTTATAAAAAGGTTTATTATAGTCATTCTTGAGAAACAGAAAGTTCTGATGTAACAGAATTTTTAAATATCTATCTTTTTACCAAAATACCAAAAAACAAACTACATTCAAACCATAAGCAAAAATATTTTACACTGTTTTTACTGTTTCTTTTGTTGCCTTATAGTGTATGGTGTTTCTCTTGCACAATTAACAAATAATAAAGCAATTACTTTTTTTTTTATCAATGATAAATAGTATTATCAATAATAAAGACTTTTTATCTGTAATTTATTTTAATAATCTTTTTAAAATTTAATGTTGATTATTATATAAAATAAAAGTTTACCAATTTTTAACTGCTTCAGCTGCTGACATTTCTGTGCCAGCTGAATTGCATCCATAGGCTAAATTTTCTCCTTCCCCATTACGGTCTGTAGAGTGTTTTAGTTCTTGAATGTCAGCTAGATGTTTAGCATACTTCTCAGCTTCCTCAGACATCTTAGAATTTAACTTCATATCTGGAGCATTGTGTATTTTTCGTAAAATATTATGTGCATTAAGGCCCAACTGGTCAAATGCATTCTGGTCACCGCTGGCTTCTTTACCTTCATTATTTGGAGCAGTATTTGGAATTACAGCAGGGGAGTTTGAGTTTGAAGAACTGGAAGCTGAGGAGTCAGAAGAAGATGTTGAATCACTTTGGCTTTCTTGCTTAGACTTGCTTGGTTGTGCAGCAGAACTAAGTAAATTATCTAAACTATCGCATGTCTTTTTTTTATCGAACGATCCTTCAAAAACATTTTTTGTAAATTGTGTAAGCATGTTACCAGCTGGTTTGTATCTACCAACGATGTATGTGCAAAACATGCCATCTTTTTTTGATGTTGCTTTGCCCATACCAAGTTCTGTGCTACCTTTCCATACAACCTAAAATTCAAATTATGTTGCTAATTGTACTAAGTAAATAATACAAAATAAAATAAAAAATAAAATAACAAATGAAATAAATAACTCTCATATATGCCAATTTAATTTAAATAGTTTCTCATTGGCTAACTGAAATGCTAGTTCAGCCAAAATTTTGTTTTAAACCTTTTTAAAGTATTATTTTTATGAGATTACAAAGCTCAAAATATAAAAAATTGTTTTAAGATTTTTTAAACTCATAAAAATGTCTTTATTTAAGTTTTGTTATTTTTTGTTGATTTATTTTTTTTTTTTCATTTTGTAAAGCTTTTCTTTCCTTTGGCTATTTCTTAAAGCTACCATAAATAGCCAAAGCCAAAGCTACCACAATGGCTTTTATTCAATAGCTCTGGCTTTTAATTTTTTAATTAATTTTCTTTTTTCTTTTTCTTCTCCCTTTTCAATCAAACTTATAACTTCCAAGTAGTCCATCAGAAAAGTTAACGAATATATTTTATATGAATATAAATTGAACCACAGCTTTATTTGTGAGTATCATTTAAAGTGGGGGCTTTCTCGTTAATCAGATAGTAATAAATATTTTTTATAACAATGAACAAAAAGATTTTAAGTAATGAAAAGTGCAAAGATGCTGTATTATCTTTTAAAAGAAGACAAAGGGAAAAGAAAAAAAAAAAGAAAAGTCCTCTTCACAATTTGTTTTCACAGTCTTTACAATCTATTTTACTGAGAAAAAAAAAATGAGTTTGATACTACGAGAAAGGGGTTTAACTGTTGATGTGACTCTTGCATCAAACACAGCCTCTTACAATTACGCCAATATTTAATTCAAAAGTAACTAAATAAAAACATACCTGAGTAAAGTGACCAGTACCAGAACCACCATCTTTACTAAAGTCATGTCCTGGAGAACAAACCTCTGCATACCTATCAGAAAATTATTTAAATTTTAATTAAAAAAATTATTTTCAACAATAGAACTATGATTTACCTGCTTTATTATGTGTAAAAAAATTTGTGTATTTAATAAAAAAATTAGTATAGAGTATAAAAAAAATAGTATAGCGTTTAAAAAAAAACCGAGTATACATACTTGCCATAAATTTTAAATTATAACTTAAAATTAAAATAAAAAAGTTAAAGATATATATAATATGATATAGCAAATTGATACTTATTTTTGTGTAATTTGAAGTTTTTTCCAAAAAATCATGTGTTTCATTTGACCCTGCACCAAATTAGTAACTTATTTTAATAATTTCTTTTAAGTTGTTTTAAGCATCTTTATAATAAGATAATAAGAAAGAATAATGACAGTAGCAAACATCTGACAATGTTTAAAAACACATTAATTTTTTTGACTCACCAATTTTTTACTGCTTCAGCTGCTGACATTTCTGTACCTGCAGAATTGCAGCCATATGCTAAATTTTCTCCTTCCCCATTACGGTCTGTAGAGTGTTTTAGTTCTTGAATGTCAGCTAGATGTTTAGCATACTTCTCGGCCTCTTCAGACATCTTAGAATTTAACTTCATTTCTGGAGCATTGTGTATTTTACGTAAAATGTTATGTGCATTAAGACCTAACTGGTCAAAAGAGTTTTCATCACTATTACCTCCATTACTTTCAATACCTGGGGATGGACTTGGAATTGCAGCAGGGGAGTTTGAATTTGAAGAGCTAGCATCTGAAGAGGGAGATGAATCGCTTTGACTTCCTTGTTTAGATTCACTTGGCTGAGCAGCAGAGCTGAGCACATTGTCTAAACTATCGCATGTATTTTTTTTATCAAAAGATCCTACCAAAACATTTTTTGTAAACTCTCCACCCATATTACCAGCTGGTTTGTATCTACCAACAATGTAAGTACAAAACATGCCATCTTTTTTTGATGATGATTTACCCATACCAAGTTCTGTACTACCTTTCCAAACAACCTAAATAACGAGAAATATTTTTATAGTTATTATTATCTATTATATCTTATTACATATATTATATCTTTTAAATCAAAATTATTTTAAATATCAATCAAATTAAAAGATTACACAACTACGTGAAAAATTTTTCACAACACATAAAAAAACTGAAAATTTAAAAATGAAATTTAAAACAAATAAAAACTACACAATAGAATATGCAAAAAAATAAATTTAATATTTCTATTATTAGACTATTCTTTATAATATTTTATATTATATTTTAAACTAAACGTGTGTGTATGTACATATATATATATATATATATATATATATATATATATATATATATATATATATATATATATATATATATATATATATACATATATATATATATATTTGGTTTATTTGGTATAATGGTTGCTTGGGTCTGGTGGGTGCAGATTATATATATATATATATGCGTGCAGATTTTATATATATATATATATATATATATATATATATATATATATATATATACATATATATATATATATTTGGTTTATTTGGTATAATGGTTGCTTGGGTCTGGTGGGTGCAGATTATATATATATATGCGTGCAGATTTTATATATATATATATATATATATATATATATATATATATATATATATATATATATATATATATATATATGTATATATATATATATATATATATGTATATATATATATATATATATATATATATATATATATATATATATATATATATATATATATATATATATATATATATATATACAGACAGAGAAATAAGTATCCGAACAAAACATTTTATTGTAAAAAATAAACTTTCTCAGGTTATTTCACAAAAACATATTTTTTTGATAAATACTTTTATAATTATTCTAAAAGTAAATTTAATTAGGATTTTATATAACAAAAAATTTACCAATGGTAATTAACTTGCGTTGCTAAAATTTAACAACTCCTGTAGGAATGTTAAAACTTCAACGAAAAATAATTAACGAACATGTTGTTTTGTAAACAACATTTTGAAATCGATTGTTAAAAAAAGTTTTTAAATCAATAGTTTTAGAAATATTGTTGTTTTACAACAAGTAATTTTTTATAATTGACTTATATTTTTTTTAAGTCATTTGATTTACCATTGATATCATTAAGTATGGGAGTTTAAATCAAGGAATGGTCCCAAGCTCAGCGCAATTTAGTTATTGACTTGTTCAAGCAAGGTAAAACATTTAAGTCGATAAATTAAGTGACTGGAATGGCATTAGGAACCATCAGCAATCTGATTAAAAAGTGTAATATGTTTGGATATATATATATCATAAAAATCCTAGATCGTCTGGAATTGACCAGAGCTGTAAATCAACAACAACCATTTAAAGTATAAATTATGAAACAGATCTTTTTCTAAGTGTAAATCTATTTTTTAACTATTGTCAACCCAAAAATATTCAATTGTTTCCTCTGCCACTTTACTCTAATGTCAAATAAAAGTTTTTAAGAGAAAACCTTATCTGAAGATAGCATATTTTTAAGACTACCAGTAGATACAATATAGATTTTAGTATTACAAGATATTTTTGAGTAAATTGTACAAATGCACCGAAATTGTTTTATACAGAATTTTGTAATTGAACATTTTTTCATAATAACTTAACCATTTTAAAATTGATAAATAAAGTTAATGATGATCAATTGATTGAATAATTAAATTGATTATATTTAAAAAAAAAAAGCACCAATAATCAAATAACAATTTTTGTCAACCAATCAGAATCGCCTTTTTTAAAAAGTATATATTAATAGATACTTTCTAAAAAACACTTTTTTTTCTTTCTAGCTTATTTAGTTTAAAAAAAAACGTGTTTTAGTTAAAAAACCTTTTAAATTTTTCAAAGAATTGCCCAAAAAAAACAATATCAGAAAAAACAATCTTAAGAAAAAATAATTTGCAAAGTTGCAAAAAGCAACTGTTGTTTATGATTGACTGCAATTTTAAAATTCAAGTTAATTATGTCTCCTAAAAAAGTAAAACAATAAAATAAGTAAAGTTTAAGAAAAGATATAACAAACCACATTAGATCAAAATTGAGATACCTTAAAAAAAAACTAGTTAACATAAAAATTGTGTAAAGTTTTGGTTTATTATGGTGATTGCTTAAAGCAAACTTTCAGCCAAAACCAAACAAAGTTGAAGATTGTTGAAACAGAAGTTTTGGTTATAAAGTCGTAGTTTACATTTTTCATAAAAATTATCAAAAAATGTATTAAGAGAGGGTTATAACAACAATAAGGGTTATAACAACAAGAGAGCTTTGTAACAACAAGAGAAAGTTGTAACAACAAGAGAGGGTTGTAACAACAAGAGAAGGTTGTAACAACAAGAGAGGGTTGTAACAACAATGACAGTTATAACAACAAGAGAGGGTTGCAACAACAATGAGGGTTATAACAACAAGAGAGGGTTGTAACAACAAGAAAGGGTTGTAAATACAAGAGAGAGGTTGTAAGAACAAGAGAGGATTATAACAACAAGAGAGGGTTGTAGATACAAGAGAGAGGTTGTAACAACTATGAACAAAATCCTTTCCAATTTTCCATTACCTCACTCTTGGTTAATTTTATTGTAAAGAATATCAAAATGTATTAAGAGAGGGTTATAACAACAATAAGGGTTATAACAACAAGAGAGCTTTGTAACAACAAGAGAAAGTTGTAACAACAAGAGAGGGTTGTAACAACAAGAGAAGGTTGTAACAACAAGAGAGGGTTGTAACAACAATGACAGTTATAACAACAAGAGAGGGTTGCAACAACAATGAGGGTTATAACAACAAGAGAGGGTTGTAACAACAAGAAAGGGTTGTAAATACAAGAGAGAGGTTGTAAGAACAAGAGAGGATTATAACAACAAGAGAGGGTTGTAGATACAAGAGAGAGGTTGTAACAACTATGAACAAAATCCTTTCCAATTTTCCATTACCTCACTCTTGGTTAATTTTATTGTAAAGAATATCAAAATGTATTAAGAGAGGGTTATAACAACAATAAGGGTTATAACAACAAGAGAGCTTTGTAACAACAAGAGAAAGTTGTAACAACAAGAGAGGGTTGTAACAACAAGAGAAGGTTGTAACAACAAGAGAGGGTTGTAACAACAATGACAGTTATAACAACAAGAGAGGGTTGTAACAACAATGACGGTTATAACAACAAGAGAGGATTGTAACAACAAGAAAGGGTTGTAAATACAAGAGAGAGGTTGTAAGAACAAGAGAGGGTTATAACAACAAGAGAGGGTTGTAGATACAAGAGAGAGGTTGTAACAACTATGAACAAAATCCTTTCCAATTTTCCATTACCTCACTCTTGGTTAATTTTATTGTAAAGAATATCAAAAATAACTTTTTACAATTTAAATTATTGCAAATTTTGTTATAAATATAATATATTTTGATATAAATATTGATTAAGATATTGCAAATTTTGTTATAAAGCATTTAAATAAGTTTTAAAAAAAAAAGGTTTAGAAACGTGAAAAATGATTTTAACTTTAAAACTGATGCTTCATACCTAAATTTTAAGTTTCTAAAGAAAAAAAACTAATCACTTTGACCATTAAAAAAATTATAAATTTTTTTTATGGTCAAAGTTGGGGCAACAAAAAAAAACTTTTTTTAGATTCAATTAACAGCATTAGATCTTTCTAGATTAGATTTTGAGTTGATTAAGAAAAAGGAATCCATTTTGATCCTACACATCCAGATTTTTCTGAAGTTTTGTTTTTTTATCTTATATCAGTTTTAAGCTATAGTTTTTGCACACTTTCAATTTCAAACTTTTTTAAATTCCTTTTTTAAATAAAATTTAATTGTGTAAATGTAAGTTTATATTTATATTCAATTTACAGTAATACAAGGTAATACAGTAATATAATACAAAAATAAGGCAGAATTTAGATCCTATCTGTATTTTATTGCAGAATGTCTTCAATTTGCAGACAATCTTGTAGAAATAGTTCAAACAGTTTCTGTTACTTTTGTGGTCATTATGTCACTAAAAGGCAGAAGAGAAAAATAAATTCAAATTTCTTACTGACTTCTATTTTACTGACTTCTATTTTGGATTCAAGGTGGGAAATCATGGCAAAAAATAGGTGCTTCAGTATAGTTGCACAAACTGCTACATGTGTTTGACTAAATGGCTGGATGGAAAAAGACTAACTGGCATGTCATTTCCCATTCCTATGATATGGAAAGAGCCACAAGATCATACCACCAACTGCTGTTTTTTTCAACAAAAATCAAGGTACATTCTCTAAAAACAAAAGGACAAAATAACGTATTCAATTTGTGATTCAGCAAAGTTGTCAGTACCTCACAGTGGCAGTCTGCCAATTCCAACTCCACCAAGTGTATTCAACCTGTTGCCCTCTCGAGATACATCAGACAAACCAAACAAAGAAAATGACGATGATGACTTTATGCCTGAAACGGAATCAGTCCCACATTTTATTAACCAACAGTAGCTGAGCAATTTAATCAGAGACTTACATCTATCAAAATCGAAAGCTGAGGTTCTGGGTTCTTAACTACAAGATTGGCACTTGCTAACACCTGACACCAGACCATTTACCAAAACAAATACGAAAGATACTTGAAATATTTCATCAAACAAAAGAGAAATCACCTTTTGTATGAATGTTAAAGGATTGTTAACTGAACTTGGATATGCCTATTCCTCTAATCAATGGTGTCTCTTTATTGACTACTCAAAATACTCTCTAAAGGCAGTATTAATTTATATTGGAAACAAATATCCTTCCATTCCAATAGCTCATGTAGTGGGACTGCAGAAAACTTACAAGACAATGAAAACTGTACTTAACTGTGTTAGCTATGGCAACCACAAGTGGATTATTTGTAGTGACCTTAAAATAATTGCCCTGTTGCTTAGACTGCAATTGGGTTTCACTAAGTATATGTGCTTCCTCTGCCTCTGGGATAGCTGAGACATTAAAAATCATTATGTGAAGAAGATATGATCCAAATGTACAGAATTTAGAGACATAATTGTAACAGGGGGAAAAAACTCAAGAATCATAAAGAGCTGGATATTTAAATTCTCAGTTTTTCCAAATTTTTAACTTATTAACAAACATGTAAATTAACTAAATCAAAAAAATAGGGTTCTTCTGATTTGAATGATGTATAGACTATTTCAATACTTTCAAATTCTAAAACATAAAATAATAATTCTTAATTTAGTATAAATGAAAAAAACGAAATAAAAAGTACCTGAGTGAAATGACCTGTGTTGTAATTAAAACTATTCTGTTTAAAATCATGACCAGGTTTGCAAACTTCAGCATACCTACAAATAATAATTATCGTTACTACAAGTCTTTTGTTATGAAACCCTGATTTCAAACAAATATATAAGAAAAAGTGTAAAAGATAGATATAGATAAAAATATTTACTTTAATAATCTTTATTTTCAATACAACATTTCATACAGTATTAGAAATATGAAATAAATGATGTGATATTCAATATAACTATCAGTTTACATCAATTTTAGCATTACTCTTTGCAATATTTACTTTTCACCAGCATCTTGATTATGCACAAAAAAGTGCATTCTCAAAACTTTTTTAAATACAAATTTTCAAAAATAGCTGTTTATTCCAAATAAAGAAAGTTCCAAAGCCCTGATTTTAGCCTGGACTAAAGAGTCCAGACTCAAGAAAGTTTTATGAGTGTTACTTCTAGATATTAAGAAAACATTAAAAGAAAATTTGAGTTCTTTAATGATAGAAGCCTACGATTTTTTAACCCAGAATTGCAGGATAGCAGATAAATAACACAATAGGAGCCACTTGTAGAAATTTTGGTGTGATAAGAGATAACGATGGGATAGCAAATGTGCTATAATCTGCTTTATTAGTTGCAGCCGAATCGTAAGATGAACAAGTGATTAAGCTATGACTCATCCATAATGGTTAAATATGTTATTGTATATTTTGGTATAGTGCTTCTTAACATTTGATTTCATTTATAATTGTTTATTGTTTGGTACTCACTGTGAATGCCTAACTACCTTCAATTTTAACACCAGTTCTCTGCCCTTAGAATCTTTAGTTGCATTCAATTTCATATCATTTTGATTGATTCTGTTATAGATCTTATAAGTGTAAGACTTAATCTTCTTCCAACAGTCTAGACACAATTTATGAGGTTTTATGTTTTATCCTTGAGATGGATTGAAGATGATTCTGTAAATTGTAATGTGCATTGCTCTCGTTTTGTTTCCTGAAAGTTGATACTTCTACAAGATTGTTCACTTTTGTTAAATTACAATCTAGCCCATTTTTCTGCTTTTTTTAAGCAGCTCAAGGAACTCAATTGTTTGTCACAAATGTTTAAATAGTTTATTATCATAGTGAAGAGTGTTATCTACACATCTTTGTTTAAAAAAGTCTGCAACAATTTCATCAAAGCACTTATTGTAGCCTTCTCCAATGGAAACAAATCCTTGATGAGCCCAAATTCATCTAAAGCATCCAAAAGATGTAATGAAGGTAAAATTATTAGGAGAAGCTTCAAGTTTAATTGTAATTACTAAGACACAACTCTTCGGATAAAAATTTTAGAATTAGAACTTAAGATTAGATTAAGATTAAAGAAAATTTGTTCATTGAATGGAAAAAATTCAGATATAAACAAACAGTTAAATCATTATAAGATATCACTTTTCACATAATAGTTTTATTAGTCGTTAACCTTTTGTTAAACAATTTAATATCTTTTTTATTTTATTTTTTTGCTATTGCCAATTGTAAAATAAAGTTTGAACAAGTACAAATTTGTTAAAATAAATATTTTTTGAGAGATTTAAAAAAATATGTATATATATATATATATATACATATATATATACATATATATATATATATACATATATATATATATATATATACATATATATATATATATATATACATATATATATATATACATATATATATATATATATACATATATATATATATATATATATACATATATATATATATATATATATATATATATATATATATATATATATATATATATATATATATATATATATATATATATATATATGTATATATATATATATATATATATATATATATATATGCCAACCTCTAAAAGATTGAGGTCATCATATATATATATATATATATATATATATATATATATATATATATATATATATATATATATATATATATATATATATATATATATATATATATATATACATATATATATATATATATAAATATATATATATATATGTGTATATATATATATATATATATATATGTATATAAATATATATATATATATATACATATATATATATATATATATATAAATATATATATATATATATGTATATATATATATATATGTGTATATATATATATATATATATATATATATATATATATATATATATATATATGTATATATATATATATATATGTATATAAATATATATATATATATACATATATATATATATATATATATATATATATATATATATATATATATATATCATATACATATATATATATATATATATATATATATATATATATATATATATATATATATATATATATATATATATATATATATATATATATATATATATATATATATATATATATATATATATATATATATGTTCAAGAGCAGATTTCCAACAAAAAGAAGTGAAAATATTGATAAAACTAATTAGAAATACATTTTTAACAATTTATCAGTACAAGATAAAATAAATTAATATTTTATTCAATTGAGGCAAAAAAATATATAAACTCGAAAAATAAACAAAAAAATCAGTGGTTCATTAAAAAAGAAAAACTAATTGAAATACATTTTTAACAATTTATCAGTCCAAGATAAAATAAACCAATGTTTTTATTTCATTGAGAGAAAATAAACAAATCAGCGGTTCAATAACGATTTTTATTGGAAAAAAAACAATGTTATAGATATCAGAACCTGTAAATTAAAACATTCTACAAAAAACAAGAAAATATAATGTTTGTCTATTACCTAAAAAAAATTAAGGCTAAGGCAAATAGAAGACAATTGTCTTATCACTACGCTCCTTAAGCAGTGAGAAGTTTTCATTGTAAAGGGTGTCTTACAAATACTGATGTTTTAACGCGTTGTTTTATAAATGCCTAATATCCACTGACACCACCCCAACAATATAGGAAGCAATGAGTGCCAAGCGGAAAGGTTTTTTTTTCTATACAAAATAATAATAATTTTACATAAAAAAATTATATTTTTATGAAGAAATATATTGATTTTTTATACAAATTTTGATTTTTTATAAAAAATAATTACTATTTGTATAAAAAATCAACATTTTAGTACTTTTAGCAAGAAAAATAATATTAACAATGCATTCTTTTTTTTTTGCTTTTTTTTTTTTTTTCACTGTTTAATATTAGAATATTTTATTTATATTGTTATATTCTTTATTTAGATTATATTATTAAATAAATGGAGATAAAGCTGTGATGGACTTAGCAATACCATTATGATATTTGTATATTAATTTTTTAAAATTTTAATTTTCAGATTTACAAATTAATTAAATTTGTTAACTTGTTTACAATTTAATTAGTTTGTAAATCTGTTAAAATCTACAAAACCTTAAAATTTTATGAAAAATATTAATTAGAATAATATTATTAACATTTATTATTATAAATAATATAAAATGATACAATTTTTTTTTTAAATAAATGAACTTCAGCTGGAATAAAAGAAACGTAGTTTCTAAGAAACTTTTTTGCATTTTTTCAATAAATGATAGAAGTGATTAATATATAATACAAATGAAAAGTTTTAACTCAAATGTAACCGCAAAGATGTTGTTTAAAAAACTATAGGAATTATAAAAGGTTTGTTTCAAATCTGTCTAATCTAATTTATAAAGATTAGGTTCAAATATAAAAACTGAAACCGAAAAAGATTTAATTCAAAAGTAACAACTAAGTTGACAAGAAACTGATTTAAATGTAAGTACTGGGATTGACAACAATTCAACTGAAATCCAATTTAGCAACTGTAATGCAGTGGCTAGAGAGTTAGCTTTAGAATCTGTGGTTCCTTAAGGTCTACGGTTCCTAGAATCAACTTGACTCAAATGCAACTGTTTGATTTGAACTGCTGCTATATCAGAATTTTATAAATAATTTAAACTAATAACCTTAATTTTAACTAATTAATCACAGATTTTCAAATATAAAATAAAAACACTTTTTTTTACACTATTTATTAATAGAGAGCAAAAAAAATTTTACCAAAACTGTAAAAAAAATAATATTAATACAGTTTTATGTAAATTTAATCTACTAAAAAACTATATATATTGTAGATAAATAAAAGTAATACAATATATTGCTTTTGTATATCTGCAATATGTCCATTATATTTATATATACATATATAAATATTGAAAGAATTGAGAATGTATTGAGAGAATTTCAAAACTAAGTTCATTTTAAAATTTAAATCTATCTAAAATAAGCATAACTTATTATAATTTTAAGAAACTTTAGATACTCACCAATTCCTTACTGCTTCTGCTGCAGACATTTCTTCACTACCTGAGTTACATCCATATGCTAAATTTTCTCCTTCATTATTACGATCTGAAGAGTGTTTCAAGTCTTGAATTTTTGATAGATATTGTGCATACTTCTCAGCCTCCTCTGACATTTTAGAATTTAATTTCATATCTGGAGAATTGTGTATTTTACGAAAATAGTTGTGTGCTCTTAAACCATCCTCCTCAAAGTTTATAGATGATGAGGTTGCATCTGCAGCATTGACTTTATTTTCATCAGCCGAAAACATAACTGAGCTTTCTTTTTCATTTTCAACTTCTTTGTCTAAGCCATTGTATTCTGCAGTAGTTTTATAGTTACTGGCACTACTTTCTTTAAATAAATTTTGTTTACTGAACTTAACTTTGTTAAAATGCTTAGAATTTAATGCAGCTTTTCTTCCTGCCATTTCACCTGCTTTTTCAGCTGCATCTGCTGCTGCATCAAACACTGAGTTGAAAAGATTAGTAAAATTTTCTTTGGAAATTTTATTAACAAACACTGAAGGTAACTTTTCTAAATAATCATTCTGAGTGTCATCAAAATAATAATGTGTGCCTGTTGTATGCACGCCAGTCATATCTGATAATTCTTGTGTTGTTAAATTATCTTTCATTGAATCAGCTCGAAATTTTCCAGCTTTAGCTCCAGCTTTAGCACCGGCAATAGCTCCTACTTTTGCTCCGAGAGCTAAAGCTTTTGCTATTGTTTTTGCAACATCTGATATCTTACTCTGTTGCAACTGCTTCTCAAGTTTAGAATTTACAAAATCTGTAGGATCATCAGGAGGTTTAACTTGGCTTCTTGTATTAACAAGACTTCTGGTGTTTTTATCTTTTTTTAACTTGATGCACATTTTTTTACGATCAAAATACCCTTTTTTTACGTTATTTTTAAACTTGTTTTTTAAATTTCCAGAAGGACGATATCGTGCCACCACAAAAGTGCATTCTTCACCATCTGGATTGGTAACTGTATGAAAACCTACTCCAAGAAATGAGGTGTTTTTCCAAACTAACTGAGTAAAATGGAGTGTTTCCTTTTTATTACTTTCACTAGAGAAGTCATATTCTTGCTGACAAACTTCATTATACCTGAAATTAAATAAAAACAAAAAACTTAAAAAACAGATTTTTAAACTTAACATCATTCATGTTTTTAAAATTATCATAATTTATGCTGCTTTTATTTTGTGAAAGTGTATTGAAAGCCCAGTTATTAAAATAACCAGCTGTTTGTTTTTTTAAGCTCCTAAAGATAATTTAAATGTTTTAAGGATTTTTTTTCATATAGGAAAAATCAGTTTGTTTATGTTCAAAATATATTTCAGTGATTAAAGAATATAATATTAAATAGCATTACAAAATCAAACATACTATAGTATTTACAGACTAAAACAGGAAAAGATTTGGAAACAAAAAAACTGCATTACTGATTTTTAAAAAATTACAATAAATTAACAGTGTTAAAACCTCTATTAAACTTTTATGTTAGAATGTTAGACCACTTCCTACATTAAATACTGTTTGTAACATTGACAAAAAAATATAGTTAACTATTTTGTTAGTAAATAATTTGACCCTATATAATGCTAAGTTGTCGGCTACAGTATATTCTAATAACTCCTTTATATTCCTCCTAATAATTCCTTATAACCTCCAAAGTTCAACCATTGTTCAAGATATTATGAGATTTTTATTTGAAATTGGGTTCAAGTTATTGGAAGTTTACTGTATAAACAAGCCCATGAAACTAATCTTTCCTAGGAACTCATAATTTAAAAAAAAAAAAAAAAATTATTTTCAAAATTGAACTTTTTCTTGCACCACTAAAACTAAAAATAAATCAGTAATAACTTTTGATAACTAAACCAAAATTAATAACTTGTTATGCTTTTTGTACTTCAATGGATGCGTGTATGCGTGTGTGTAGTAGTAGGGTACCAAATAAAATTAACTTTTTTATTTGAAAATCTTAACTCTTACCCTCTAAATGTGGTTTTTGTAATAAAATAACACTGAATTTAAAATTTTTTTGAATATAAATATTTTTAGCGGTAGCTCAAGACCCTTAAATATTTAACAGATATCTAATATTATTAAAAATAAAATTTCAAAAGTATATGAGGTTAGGTCTCGCATAAAGCAAAATTAAATAAAAATTTCAAAAATAATCACCATTTAAAAAGAAAAATTTTATTACTGAATAAAAAATACTTTTTTTTTCTAAAAATGAAAAAGTGCATTTTTATTAACTTTTTTAAAATTAGAAAAAACATGACATGCTTAAAAATATATATTATTATTAGACACCCACTTAATGTTTAAGGGTCTTGAGCTACCTCTGAAAATATTTTTATGCAAAAAATTTTCAAAGGTATTTAGAATCACACACAAAATAATGCATTTATTATAAGAAATTGATTGAAAGTTTTAAAAACTAACCAAATTTGAGAAGCCTTTTTGATCTTATGAGAATCCAATCCACACAAAAGTGCAAGATTTTCACCATCAGATGTGTTGGACTGTTGTAATACGCCTTTAATTGACAGTTCCAAAGCATACTTTGTTGCTTCTTCTGACATTTCTTGGCTGAGCTGTAGCGGTTTTGACAAATGCCATTTCCGATACAGATTGTGAATATGCAAAGTTTTTTTTTGATTTTGGTCTGTTAAAAAAATTAATATTTTTTATAAATATTAAAGCTAATTTTTACAGTTTTTAATGTTACTATTCATTGATACTATTACTTTACACAATTAAAGTGTGTAAAAAGTAAAATGTGAAAAAATATGTCATTAAAAACATTAATTTACAACTTAATATAATATTGATTTTGATATTAAGTAAAATTAATATTATTGCATAATACTGATTTTTGTTTACTATAAGTTGATACTTTTTTAAAGATTTTTTTTTTACAAATACCTCAATATTGTAATCTTTTGTTGTTGTTTTTTTTTTTTTTTTTGTTTGTTTGTTTTAATTTTTTGTATATTCAACAACCATGGTTCCACAAATATGTGGCTTGGTTAAGTTTCTAAATCCTATTTTTTTATCAAAACATAACATTATGAAAACTTAAAGCTATTTTACAACCAAATGCCTTTTCTAGCAGTAATCAGTTCAGTAGATGAAGACTGAATATTTTGTTGCGATATTACCAATTAAAAAAACACAAACCAAGGTTCCTCCTACCCATTATTCAGTGCCATGGCTAGTGGGTTGGAGGCTCCTCCTCAAAAACTGTAATGAGGGGTCCCAAATCCTTAAAAAAAAAATTGGTATAACTTAAACAAAAAACACCTTAAGTTTGCAAAAGTGCTTCAGAATTTTCCTTTTCTAGATAAAATGTTTTTACTTTAATTAAGAGTTTCACCTCATCCTTGGTGATTTTTCATACTGAATGGAGTAATTGCAGCATTCTTAAAGAATAATGGGAAAACTAATAAATAATGGGAACTTAATGAATAATGGGAACTTAATGGGCATTAAATGAAATTAATAAATAATGGACTATTAATGAATAATGGAAAGGTTTTAGATGTTAAGGGGATGAATCAAATATGCAGGAGGTAGTCTTAACATAATTTTTCTAAGAGATCCAACAGCTTATGTCCAGTAAAAAATTCTGACATTTGTCGAATCAACTTTATGGGTTTTGCAAGTGTATTAAAGTACGAAGGAGCCAATTGCATTTTCCCCCAAGAAACAAATTTAAATATCCTAACATTTTGGTTGTTAAAGATAGCAAAAAATTAAAATAGTGTCAAGAATTTTTATCCTAACACTAAAGTGACCAAACTAGAATGTGTTGGTCATTATTAGTGTGTTAAACTCAACTGCGGGCACTATTAGAAGTGTGTTTAATTCAAAATTTAAAGATTAACTGCAAAATTTCTTTGGTGTGGATCAGGCAAAATACCGGTTATCCCCTTCTTTTTACCTTTTCTATAATTATTTAATGACTAGGACTCCCCGGATGTATATTTTGAATCCCAAATTAGGCAGAGTAAATTGGGTAGAGACACGCAATCTGATGGGCTAATTTTGAAAGAAATGTTGGGGCGCTTGTTAAATTTTCGTCAGCTCGGAATACAAGCGTCGTATCGATAATTTATTAAAATTACATATAAAAATATAATTATTTAATTTATGTAAATTTAACATTATGTTAAAAAAAAAAATTCTTTTTGTAAACGTTATATTGTAACGTTACATAAAAAAAATTATTTACATTTACATAATTTTAAAATTTCATAAATAAGATAATTACATATTTATATAATTTTTTGATACGACACTTGTATTCCGAGCTGACGAAATGTTAAAAAGTGTACTGGATAATAAAAGTTAAATTGAATAACTATATAAAAAATCAAATAATAATAACAATAAATTATGATTTTTTAATCGAAACTTGTCCATTAAAATATTATCTGGGAACAATTCACCAGTGGGGTTCCACAAGGCTCGGCCCGACGCTCTTTATTACTTTTATCAATGACCTCCGCTCTCATATAAGTCTTTAAAAAACGCTGACAATGCCAAAGTTCTTAGCAATGTTAGTTTGAATAACTATATAAAAAATCAAATAAAAATAACAATAAATTATGATTTTTCTATCGAAATTTGTCCCTAAAGTTAAGTTCAAGCAGATATAGATATCATCTTTGAGTGGACTTGGGTCCACTTGACTAATTAAACTAAATATTAAAAAAATGTTTTTATTCTAATACTTAACATGCACTACTTTAACCAACCTTCCACCTTCGAGAACATTTACTTTATGATCAAATACGATCGACAAGGCTATGCAAAAAAATCAACCTCTGAAAAAGACTTTGGCACCCACATTTATCACGATCTTAAATTTAAAACTCAAACTTTTACTGCGGCCTCCAAAGCTGAAAAAATGTTTGTTTTATTAAAACTTACTTTTATAAGGCGCTAAACAACGGAAAAAACTTTCCAACACTTATGTACGTCCTTATTTCTAATTTGGCGCAACTGCATGGAACCATTATCTCAAGAAAAATATCGATTTGTTAGAACAATTTCGGTATCATACAAAAAAAATCTCATACGTGTTAAAACCTTATAATTACAAAACAAGGTACACCATCTTATCCTTACTACCTTTAAAGAAAGGTGCATTTGTGTTGACATGATCCAAAAATACAAAATAGACATCAATCTTGACGTTATCTCTTAGCACGTTCGATTTTTTTTGAACCAGATTCTGATCTTCCATTAGAGGCAGTATACAAAATCAGAGATGTGGTTGAGGAGCTCACTATTAAAAATTTATGCACGGTAAAACAAATTGTTGGTGAGTTCCTTAATGAAAAAGTTTGGGATTATATACCGAAAACGTTTATTAGGCGTTGACTAATTTAAACTTTGTGACGAAGTTATCGATCTTAATTTATGAAAAAACTTAACATGGTTTTAGACAAATATTAATAAACGATTCTAACCGCATAAACAAAATGCGCATTAAATGGTTTATCTATCTTTTAAACTTGCCTAACCAAAAAAAAAAGTAAACACATATGAAACAGACTGTTTCTTTTCTTTTTTTTTTTTTTTTTTTTTTTTTTTAGTTTTAGCATTTAGCATTTTATCTGAAATTTTTAACATTCATTCAATAAAAGCTGGGTCTTAAGCGGAACAGAATTTTGATATATCAAAACAAAAGGCAGAATGGCTAATTTTTCTAATTTAAGAAACTGTTAATTTTTGCCCAGAACTTTCAACTAAAAATCAGTTCAATTTAAAACAAAAATATACATATTCTAAATGTCACCAACGGTTTATCATATTTCATGGCTTCACTAATGATAATCTTGCTGTGATCTCTCATTAAAATCATTTGAGTTATTTTTTTATAAGGTTTTGATTTAAACTACTGTAAGTTTGTCGTGGCATGAAGTAAGACCACATAGGAATAAAAAAAGTATTTTTTAGTGTTATAGGTGGCAAATGAAGATGAAAAGTAACAAATGAATGCCTTGCGGTGAGTGAAGTTTGTGAACAATAAATAAAGACTTAATAAATAGCTCCCTATTACAAACGTCAAAACAGTTTATTATAAACTAGTTCTATTTTCATCAACAAATTTTGAACTTTATTTCTAACTTTATTTTAGCCTTTTAACATCTCTTTTTTTATATTTAATGGCTTAGATTTTTTATTCCGTTTATTATTTCATTATTAATACAAATTCATTGTTTATCCAAATCTTATTATAAGTTATAAATAATACTTTTTTGTTAGTTAAACTTTATTTGGTCAATTAAACAATTAAGTAATATAGTATAAAAAATAAAAATAATGGCAATTGAAAATATCGGATTAAAATTAGATTTAAAATAAGAATTGCAATATTTTGCCAAATAGAAAATAAGCTAAAACAAATTTTTTATAATATCCAGTTTTTGTTACATTGATATTTATTTTACGTCGGCAAAGAAACGTAAAATTGATATTGAATATATGATTTTTTTAGAACTCAAATTAAGTAAGTTTCAGGTATTAATACAAGCAGCTTGTATTGCTAGGCCAACCGCATGCAAATCTAATGCAAAACTGTATTAGATTTGCAGTTGGATAAATATTTTTATAACTTTTAACTTCACTTTATCATTTTTTTTTCAATGGATTGGATTTTTACACTTTTTTGAATGCTTATTTTTTAATATCCGTTATTGCAAAACTTAATAAGCATTCAATCAGTTCCAAAATATCGACTTAATTATTGTATATATAAAAGCTAGATTTTTTTAAAAAAAGAAACAACTTAAATGTTTGACTAACCTGGATAAGCTACTGTTTTCCATACTAATGCAAACAATAAATATTGATTAATAAACAACATATTTAAATTAGAAAGATTCTGCAATGCCAATTGCAATTTTTTAGCTTAGTGAAACCTCCAGCTTGTTTATTTATAAACATTTCATTTGTCATAAATGAAACTGTTCTTCACGTGAGCAAGTTAATTCAACTGTGATGTACAGAGTGTAATTGTGGCTAAAGCAACGGAAATTTGCGTTTAACATTAAAATGCCCAAATAAATTTATACTATAATAAATTTGTAAATGCACATACAAACACACACATACACTAGTACTTTCGACACATATAACTATATGTATAGGATTTAAAAAAAGATTTGGCAGTTAAAATAAAAGTTCTATGCAAACCCAAGCGGAAATATTTCAGACGATAAAATACAGTTTCAATGTTCGATGGAAACGGGTTACATTTTTAAAACTGCCATACCTAGTTTATCTATAATTTTAAATTTTGAAAACATTTTGTTGGCTTGTAAAAAATCAAAAGTATTAAGAAGTAAGTTTAGATTTTTTAACGTTCAAGATGAAAATTTTTAATATTTATACCGATATCAAATAACAATGTTTAAGGAAAAAAGACGACAATTAAACCTGAGAACAATATTAAACCTCAAATTTAAGTCATACAGATATAGATAGGGCTGTTAATGGGTTGGGTCTAGAACCAAATTTGACTCAATTTGACCCGTTTAAACGGAATCTGGGTCTCGTTTTTAAGACTCGAAACTCGACAGACGGGTCTGGGTTAGACCGGTTAATTAATATGGATCTTAACTAATAATATTAGATATATAAGGGACTTTTAAAATGAAAAAATATTTTAATTAGGATTATTTTTATTTACTTATCTAATATTAGGGATATATGCCGGCATATATTTTTATATAAAGTGACGAATCTTTTCTCTTCGATATTAAATCCAACTACAAACAAATATTTTTTTCATATTTATTAAATTTATTCACAAAAAACTGATATGTAGAGCAACCATATTCAATTTATCTTTAAAATAGGGAGTAAAATAAATAGCAAAGTTTGCAAAATACTGAAAAATTCTTTCGGATATATTACCGGTTACAATTATGTTATAAAATGATCCGCGTTGATAACCATAAGAAAATTTATGGTGCTACAAATGAATAGTAATTAAAAGATATCAATGTATAATTAAAAAGGTTATATAATGAGTACGCTTCTAAATTTTTAAGCAAATTAAACATTTCTGTGCTAAGGAAAAGTATTTAGGAAGGTAAAAAATAATCAAATGATCTGAATTGGTATCATCATTATCTGAAAAAGCTTATATCAGAGCGTTTTTATGATTTACAACATCATGTTGAGAACATTGCAGATCGTGAAGACATGATTTCAGGAAGAATTATTTTATTGTCGTTAAACTACTTAGGCTTCTAAGAAATATGCATGATCTTTTGCAGATTGCAACTGTCAACACAATACTGAATAGGAGGTCTGATTTGTTTTGAATAGGAGATTTGTTTATCACAATGACATAAATTCTTGAATAGAAAGAAATTATGGAAAAATCATGGAAGACGCAAAATCTATCTACACAAACCTAATTAAAGACGCAATTAACAGTTAGTGTGTTTTCTGCATCATCTTCAAAGAAATAAGGTCCAAAAACTCTTTTTTGTTTAACATAACCATTTAAGTGGCAGTGGATCAATGAGGTAGTTAATGAGCTGATGTTTTTGCCATGCAAATTCTTGGAAATGAATAGCATACGCTAATTGTGCCCAATAATATGCTGGCACCAGTTCCTGCGCTATCTTTATCTTATACAGAACGAGTTTCAGAATCTTTTTAAGCAAAGTTTAACATAAGGTTCTTCTTCAACGCCTTTGCCTACACGCTGAACATTGTCCTGTGACTTCCCTGAGCGTAGTCTTCCAGCACGTGGTAAATCACTTACAGATCCGTGAATTTGAAATCGCTGGACTAAGTTATTTATCATTGTTTACATGATGGTTTTCTAACTCTAAAATGCGTTTCCGATTGGATAGCACGTGTTTGTTCAATAGACATACAATTGAAAACTATTATGCTCTGTTAATTTGGTAATAAATGTGTAAATAAAAAAAATCTTTTATTTTACAACGCTAATAGGCAATTTTTTTGAAACCACAATCCGTAATGATTTGTATTTTATCTATGTGAACGAACGTCAATGCAAATATCTAATATGTACACTTCTTCACAAATATGTAAGTTCAAATGGACACCTGTAACATTGCTAAACAAAAAATACTGGTTTTGATTAGCATAGAATAACTTTTATAATTCAAAATAAAAGGGGATTTATGACCTAAAATTCTTTTTTTAAGTTTAAAATAATGCACAAGATTCTAAACAAAATATTGTAGAAGAAGCTTCTGGAGACAATGCCAATAACGTTTATGTAGCACAGACTGAAAAAATTATGAGGAGACACAAGAATGTAAAACCTACGAGTGATGCTGAATTAGTGACAAACAAGTAAGCCAAATACGGTATTTAGTGTTCACTCTCGATCATCCTCTTCTAAATTTTAAAAATGTTTGCGAATTTTTTTGTGAAATGTTTTTTAATTATTTATGGTTTGCTTTAACATCTGCAAAGTTAATTTGACATTAAAATCTACTATTATAATCAAAGTGAACCATATAAGAATGATTCAATTAGTATACAATTGTAATTTTCTCGCTCGAAACAAAACTTCTTTTCTTTCCAAAAATTTGGTATTGTGGTTTATCCTCCTCCAGCTAATTGCCATATAGAGGCCACATTACCAAGGCCCGCAAAGACAGGTTCGGCTGCCCAAGGACGTCATAACTCATAATATAAGAGTGAAAGACAGAAGTAGTCGTGTTAGAAAGATAGCATAAAGAAAGCGGACAGGATTGCACTCGATGTTAGGAGGTGCAATAGGTTGAAATAGGTTCTTTTCAAAAATTGGTATTGTGGTTTATTCTCCTCCAGCTAATTGCCATATAGAGGCCACATTACCAAGGCCCGCAAAGACAGGTTCGGCTGCCCAAGGAGCGTCATAACTCGCTCTACGGACCAAGAGTAAAGTGAGTTTAGGAAGAACGAAAATATGTTAGAGTGAAAGACAGAAGTAGTCGTGTTAGAAAGATAGCATAAAGAAAGCGGACAGGATTGCCCTCGATGTTAGGAGGTGCAATAAGTTGAAATAGGTTCCTTCCAAAAATTTATTTATTAACTTGAATGCAACTCATCTCTACAAAAAGTTTTACATCTATTTATATTAAATAACTATCCACAAAGATCATCATTACAAAAACCACTAAATTCTTAATTACAACTAAAATAATTAAAACTACTAACAAAAAGAAACCACGTAATTGTCATAAAATGTTCTTGAACTTTCGCATCAAACTTACAATAATAGTATACCAAAGATACTATTTTCTACTAAGTAATAATACTTTTCTAGGGATCAAGTTCAACAAACGTTTAAGAAAAAATTCCGAAAACGAATATCTAAACTTGAAACCTGGAGATGTAATAAAAAAAAAGGTACCAAGCTGGTAAAAAGCTGGTAAAACAAGTCGAAGAGGAAAACAAGTACATTTAAACTGGTTAAGCGAGGAAAAGTGAGAATATTAAGTTAATATAATAGCAAATTCCTCCAATATCAGTTTCAACAGAAGGGTATAGCAGTATAGATTTTTGCGTTAACTAAATTTACTCCTGCCGATTTACTTTTAAGCAGCCGAAACTGCTGATTTACTTTTAACCAGCCGATAGCTTTTTGCAGGGTTTAACTGAGGGACGTGAATATAGCTGCTGATCGGCAAGAGTTGGGAGTTAAATTTTTATGATAATATATTTAGAACGCGTTTTTTTTTAAAATAGGAAACTTGTTTATGAGAAACTGATACTAGTAGAAATTTCCTTAAAAAGTTTATTTAAAATTAATTGAACGGAAACAATAATAGTTTACTAACTGTAAAGCTTTTTGTCTTACTTGTTAATAGTCATCAACAGTCGATAACAAATCTATTTTGGAGCCAAAGGAAATAGCTCGTGAATTTAATAATTTTTTTTTTGGGATTGATCCTAAATCGGCAACAAAAGTTCCAAACACCCAAGCTGTATTTAGCGATTTTTTAGCACCCATTAATGATTACATTAATTCTTTTTTCATTGTCTTCAGAATTATCTTTTGAACAGTTTGAAAAAAGCCTTCAAATCTTTAAAAAAAATAAATAAAGCAACTGGTGCCGATGACATAACTGGTAATATAGACTCTTTTGAACAACTAAAAGATATTCTTTTTAAAGTTTTCAAAGTGTCAAAACATCAAGAAATTTTTCCTAATCAATAGAAAATCGCAAATGTTAAACTGATTTTTAAGGTGGTAGTTAAGCAAAATTTTTGAAAAGTTTGTATTTTTTTTTTAATGTATATTTTTAAAGAAACATTTCTGTACTTTCCGAAAATATATACTTTTATATATTTTTTATACACTTTTTCTATTCATTTAGCAATTTTTTTGACCTATGTCAATTTATTCATCTTAGCAACGCCCTTAGCAAACGTAATGTCAATATTGTAAATTAGGATTAAGGTCCCAAATAAAAGTTGACTGTTGGCGTTACCTTAGCTATTATTCAATGAAATTCTGGAGCAGCAGGATTGAGTCGTATTCTTACTTCAATGGGGGTTAATCAAGTTGGAGCTAATACAAATGCAGGTTTTAGAAAAAAAAACTTCGCTTAAAAATATCTGTTTCAAAACCCAGAAATAGTTCACTTAATCATCGCAAGCAGTTACGACAAAACCGAAAAACAAAGTTTGATACAAAGCCTTCATATTCCTCAGGTGAATTTAGCATTCATCCAGAGTCAGATAGTATCATTAATAAAAGAATAAATGTTGGAAATACAGGATTTTCAATTACATTTGTGGATGATTCCAGTCTGAATCAAAGTTGTTAATTAAAATTTTCAAAAACTGACTTGTTGGATTAACAAATGATTATCATTATTTAAATTTGACACAAATGTTTTGTACATTTTATTGTGTAACTTTCATACAACCTAAAACCTTTTTTTAAAATTAATTTTTAAAGTTTGCAAATTGAATTTCTCTGTTTTTGATTTTCACTTTTAAGAAATGATATCTTGATTTATTCTCATCAAAACATGTTGAAATTTTTTCAGAATACTTTCAGGGTTAAATATATTGATTTGAACGAAGCATTTTAGAATTTGTTGACTTCTTGGTCCCGTAACTATGAAAAACAGTTTTTTCTTTGTTCCCATAGCAACAGTTGTCATGGAAAAAAATCCGTTCAAATCAATCTATTTTATGTGGTTGTCATTCTTGTTAAAAAATATTTCGAAATTTAACGTTTTTTATTAAGATAGCCTTTCTTAAAGTCATTTTATTGTTTTAATTTCAATGGCAACAGTACCAAAAATAGTCTATAATTTTTTAAAATTTTTATGCAAATTATTTACTAAAGAGTTCTTTCAAATGCCTGATATATATTTTTAACTATTTTATAAGGATATAGTTGTTAAACTTTAATTTTTGCAAAAAATGAGCTTTTTTTAATTTTTGGTTAACTACCACCTTAAAGAAGGTGATAGAACTAATATTAGCAAATATCGACCTATTTCTGTTTTATCTATATTTTATATGTATAACCGAGTGTATAACTATTTGCATTATAATAACTTATTATAAAACAACCAATTGGGCTTCAAAAAACACAGTCCTACTGAACATTAATCATTCAACGCGTACGTAAGATATCAAATTCTTTTGAAAATTTCCAATACACACTTGGTATTTTTATTGACATTTCAAACGCATTTGATACAGTTTTCATACCATTTTTCTTCATAAACTTAAGCGCTAGTGAATAAATAACAAAATAATGAAGTGGTTCGAAAGTTATTATCAAACCGAAAACAATCCGTTTCCTGTAATGATGTTTATCAAAAGGATTACATATAACCTGTGGTGTTCCGCCAGGCTTTATATTAGAGCCACTTTATTTTTTAATTATTATTAATGACTTAAATAAAGCCTACAATCTACTTAGTATTTTGTTTGGAGACAACACTAACCTATATTTTTCTTATAATGATATTTCTAAACTTTTTTTCTAAAATGAATGACGAGCTTAAAAACATTTATATCTGGTTCAAATGTAACAAACTAACTATAAATATTATTAAAACTAAATATATCATTTTCTATTTGCTTAAAAAAAAGCGTTATCTACCCATAAAACTGCCTCCAATTTTTATCAACCAAATTGAGATTAAAAGGGACTGTGTTATAAAGTTTTTAGTGCTTTCCTGGTTGAACACATTACATAGAAATATCAAAATTTCTAAAAATATTGGAATTTTGTATAAAACTAGAGATTATTTAAATATAAAGAGCTTGTTGTCCCAACTTTTTCACTCGCTTATCCATAACTATTTAAACTATGCCTGGGGAAGTACTAATAAAAATAGATTAAAACATCTTTGTAACCGTCAGAATTGCACGCAATTCGTATTATTAATTTTGCGGATCAACTTACTCATTCGAAACCTTTATTTAACGAAATTATCACTTAATACTATGAATGATTACTTAATATATATGAAGCAAATGTATTCAATATCTTATGTTTTGGATATACGTGAAAAAATAATTTAGTTACCAACGTTTTTAAAAGTATATTTACTTTAAAACCTGTCAATAAATATACCCTAAGAAATAATAATTTGCTAGACCAATTTTTTTGTCAAACCAAGTTTAATCAGTTTTGTATTGATTATCGTGCACCATGCCTTTAAAATAAGGTTATTTTGCAAAATTTTGATTTGTCTTCTTCTTAAACAAAAAGAAAAACAAAAACAAATAGTATTTGTTTCGTAGAATTTTAGTTGGATGTTATTAAAACGTCAGAGAGTATTTTTCACTGGCCCAGGGAAATATATCTTTCCTAACTCCGATTGCCAATTTGACTTTGGTTCAAGTAGTGTGTTTAGAAAGAGAAATGAGTGTTTTTCGTCAAGAGAATTGTGAATTAGTGACAACTATTGTCTTTTACTTCTTAACAGTGATTTTAAACGAATATCTATTAAAGACGTTTTTAATTATGGTAACAAATACAGCCTAATAACCATTTGATGGCAATTCAGAAGATATTTAGAGCCTTAAATTTTTAATAGCTATTGATTGCCGATAAATGCCATAAATATTTGATTAATATCTAGATTCAATAAAAATTAATTGTGCTCTCGAAAAAGACCCTATATACCCCTTTAAATCCGGACAAACTGCCAATTAAATTAGTGCCAAATATATATTTGGACACCGTAATATTAGAAAAGTTTTTTGGTAAGGCGGGAAGTGTATTTTGTTCTTACTATTATCTTTAAGAACAGCGGTGATCCATAGGAGTATGGATTATATACAAATAATTAGCTACTGTTTATAATTGAACTTGTAATAAGTTTGAATGTTAAGTCAACTTTTTATTTGCCGTAGATTTTATCAACTATAAACTATTTTATAAGCATGTAGAAAAACGTAATAAAAGTCCTTGTAAAAAATAGCGAAGAGATCTTTTATAAAATCAAGTTTACAATAAAAGATATATATATATATATATATATATATATATATATATATATATATATATATATATATATATATATATATATATATATATATATATATATATATATATATATATATATATATATATATAAAGATGTGAAGAGAGACAGAGCCTATTATATTTTTAATGGACACTTAAAAAAACATTCAATTTTTAATTTTGATATAGTTTTTTAATTTTGTTTCTTTTATAAAAACTTTTTTAAAAAGGTATTTATTCAGTTGTTTTTTTTTTTGGTATTTGTGTAAATTTTTAATTATTATTTTCATATATTATTAATTTATTGTTGTTGTTTTTTTATGTACATGTTTTAATCTTGATTGAATTTATCAGTTATAGTTTCAGTGATTTAAAATTGAAGTGTTAATATAAAAAAAAGGATTGCGTATAAAACTGAAAAACTACTAGGTTTTGTTGTTTTTCATATTTTTATGAAAACAACAATTATTTTCATTTTATGAAACAAAATATGTTATGATTTGATTAAGTTGAGTATTGCTGCTCAATATATTTTAAAAAATATTCTAAAAAGAATAAGCCTAAAATTCACAAAGAAAAATCCTAAAGGTGCAGCTATGCACAAGAATTTTGAATCAAGTGATGTTTTTGGTTGACAACATAAATATAAAGTATAATGAAATATATTAATATAATTCAAATCTCAAAATGTTTGAAATCTAAATTTATTTAATGTTAAATTGAGGACAGTCTCTAGCAAAAATAGTGTAACAAATTAGGATGTACAGAATAAGTAAATAAATTTAAATTTAATCTTAATAATTATGTTAAAGTTTAGTTAAAAAGCAACAACATTTTAAGGAAAAACCCAACTTTTTTTAATGCTTTTAACTTTTCTTTTTTTTACTTTGAAATCTTTTTTAAGCATGTTTTTTAAAATTTACTTTAGACTTAATTTTTCTACTATAGTATAGATGATGGTAATATTTTTTGCTTACCTTTTCATATATTATTTTTTCGGCAGATGAGGGAAAAAGAAAAGAAGAGGATAATGAAAAAAAAGTTTGCTTCCAGCCCAAACTCTTAGTTGATAAAACAACACTCCTTCTACCTATTTAGTCTGTCGATGTATGTACCCTGCAGGTTTTTTCAGTATGATGTCAGACAGGTTATAGGTGTATGTGTGTATGTATATATAGAGGGAAACTTTTATTTCAAATATTTATGTAATCCACATAAATATTTACATATTTTGCATTTTTAAAAACAAGTTAAAACAAATATTGTAATCAAGTATATAATAAAAAATAACAATATATTCATGCTAACTAAATAGAGTTATTTTTTTCAGCAATATCTTTTTTGAGAATATTAAGTAATAGCAAAAATGTCTCGAAAAAAATATAAAGCATGCAAGTAGAAAGAAAAATATTCGAGGTAATATTTCTCTCTATATTTTTACGGCAAATGTTATAGTGAAGTAAATCTTTTACTTAAATTGTAAAAATATTTAGATAAATGTTTGTGTATGTGTGTGTGTGTACATTTTAAATCTAACTTTGGTTTTGGTAAATCATTAAGTATTTATACTAGAAAATCGTATACTGTAAAAAAATGTATACATTTTTTTAGATATTTAAAATAAGAAAGAAATGCTAGTTAACTATACTTGCAAATTTTATTCAGGTTGATACTATTATTTGTCGGCGACAACATTGTGGTAAAGTTCAATATTTGGTAACTTGGAAAGGTTTTGGATACTCTTCAGCTACTTGGGAGCCTGTTGAAAATCTGGTTTCTTGTGCAGATTTAATTGCTCAATTTCAGCGTCAGACAAGTCCCATTCCTGGTACTTATCTCATTTTTAGAGTAATACTTTGTGAATTTTGCATGCTTTTAGGTGCTTAATACAGGTGGGAATATAACAATAATATGACTAAGTCCTAATATAACAATAATAAGACTAAATCTTATCTCTTCTGCATTTATTAATTTGTATCTATTGTCAACAAAGAAACTTGACTGATAAAAGTATGCTTTTTCATTGTAACTATTAAATTGATTATGTCTTTAAAAGTTGATTATATAAACTGATAAAAATAAAAAAATACTCACTTTAATTATTTATTAAAACCTCCTTTTCCTCATTTGATCTGGAGAAAAAATTTCCACACTTGTAAATCCCTCCACTCCTCGCCCTACCCCTCTGTATTAAGCTCCTGAGAATAAATACATTAATAAATAACATTGTTTTCATTTTTTAACATAATATTGCAAATACTAATTTGGGATAAAAAAAGTAAAATTGTGAAATTTCATCAAAATTTAGTGTTTTTATCCCTAATTTTTTTTTTTAATATTTAAGGAGCAAATCCTTTTATTTTGGAACACTCTGGAAAGACTAAAAAAGTTCATGTTAAAATGCTTTTAACGCGCAAAGGAGGCCACAAGCGGACTAAATCAATGGCTGCATATAATGAACATGTTGATACTACATGCCAAACCGAAACTTTAAATGGTTCAGAACCATTGACATTTAAAAAGAAACATAATATAACTGAAAGTGAAAAGTTAATACGAGACACTCTAATACATGAATCTAAAACTATGGAACGCAAAAAGACAAATTATAATAAAATTAATGATATAATAAATAACTTTGATATGAACTTATCACCAAATGGTTTAATACAAAAGCGTAGTTTAAATAGAAACAGTCAATCACATAGTATATATGACAAAAATTTAGTTCTGAGTTCAGTGCAAAATGGTTATCTTCAAATTACACTTAATAATGTGGATAGAAATAACTTAATAACACCAAATGTAAGCTGCTTTTTAATTTGCTTGATTTAATGACACTAAATGTAAGATTTTACTTTTATCTATTATTATATAACAATACAGTACTTTCTTAAAATACAACATACCAAGTGCAAGCTTTCTTAAAATACATGGTATTGTTAAATTGAATAAAACAATTATAAAAATGATATAAATGATGCAATTCTTATTTAGATGCTGGCTATTATTTGTGAATGTTTGCACAGGGCTTGTAAAAATCCTGATGTCAAAGCTGTTCTTATATGTAGCAATGGTGATTATTTTTGTTCTGGAATTGATTATTCAGAACTTGTGAACTCTTCTGATGATAAAGAATACAAATCTAATGCATCCAAGCTTGTGGTTGCTATAAAGTAAATACTATATTTTTATCATTTGCTTTATTTCCATTTTAAAAGCTTCGAAGTATATAAATAGCAAATGATTCTATATTTATCATTAACATGACACCTTCTATTAACATTTTAGTGGTATTATATTAAGCTTAGTCTTTTTGTTTCATGACATCAAATTTAGATAAATTGTTTTAATTTTATAAAAATTTTTCAAAATGTTTTAGAAGTCTCCTGGCTGAGTTGCTACTGTTTCCAAAACCAATTGTTTGCGCAGTTAATGGCCCAGCTTTGGAGCTTGGAGTTGCAATAGTTGCAGCTTCAGATTTTGCTTATGGTACTTCTAAGGTAAGTCTGCATACACCAACTGCCTGGTTAAGGTTGAGTGCAGGGTTGAGTATCTATATGTAAAATAAGTCTTTTATAAAAAAAACAGAGGCCTTTTTTTTTCTGTAGTTTTTTAAAAATCTAAAAGTACTTGCAAATGTAGATTTTTATCTGCAATAGATAAAAATCTACATTTGCATGAATAATCATTGTTGGATTGAGACAAATAACTACTGATGAAATCATAGTTATATAACTACTGATGAAATCATAGTTATATAACTACTGATGAAATCATAGTTATATAACTACTGATGAAATCATAGTTATATAACTACTGATGAAATCATAGTTATATAACTACTGATGAAATCATAGTTATATAACTACTGATGAAATCATAGTCTTGTGATAAATAAAAGGGCTTAACACTTAATGGATTTTTTGGAATAATAAAAATTATTTTCATTTGCTTTTCATTTTTATCTACATTAGTTTTTTAATTTATTTTTAATATATTTATTTATTTTAATTATTTTTAATTTATTCACTAAATTACCCCAATACTAGTTTAATTAAATTATCTTTTAAGTAAAGTTTATTAAAATATTTTTAAGTAAAGTTTATTAAAATATTTTTTTACAAAATTGTTGGTATACTCCTTCACTTGCATTATCAAAACAATTTTAACATTTGTGCAAAATTTTTATGTTTCTGAGCAAATTTAACCCTAACCCTAACCTAATTCCTATCCCTATAACCCTATTCCTATCCCTATAGCCTAGTTCTAATTGAATGTTGTCTTGAGAAAGTTTTATAGCCTGTTTTTGTTGCAGTATATGACAAAAATACTGTTTAAAAAAATAAATAGTTTCCTAATCTAAAGTTAGATAAGAAGTAGTCAATAGCTTAAATAAATAAAGTTTTGTAAATTTAGATTCAAAATAAACTATACACTAATTTAAAAAACATAGTTTTTAAAATTAGTGTATAGTTTATTTTGATAACCACAGAATGTAGCATACGTCAAAAGCAGCCTATGCTTTCAAAACAAGTAAATTTTTTGCTAAAATTATTTTACTTAGATTGCGATTACAATAACAATGTAAGTATTATTTTAATCCCTAACTTTCAAAGTTGTTTTTAAAAAGTTTTGAAAGCATAATGTTTTTAATAGAATAATTTTTAATCAGTGCTGCAAATTTTTCCACAATGAGCAGTAAATGATATTTAAGGAATCATTTTTATGGCCAATATTCAAAGCATATTGGTATAGCATTCAGCATTGACTTGACTGTGTATTAGACTCTTTTTTATATTCAAAATTGGCATTGTCAAAGAACTTATTTCTGATAATACTTTGAATAATTTTGAAAAATGGTAAATCCATTTTATAGCCACTTCTAAGCAATCTTTATAGTTGGTTTGAAATATAAACATCTCATTCTTTTTAATTTTTTTTAGTCTCTAAAATTTTTGATTTAAATTTTAAAAGGAGCACCAGTTGCTCTTTATTTTATTCCAATACTGCATATATTTAATTTAGCAACTTCAGGATGCCTGAGGGCAACAGTAAAATAATTCCAGACTGCTAAAGCATCTCTTTAGACCATTATCTACAACAAAATAATATAAAATACTTATATATATATATATATATATATATATATATATATATATATATATATATATATTTATATATATATATAAATTCATATATATATATATATATATATATATATATATATATATATATATATATATATATATATATGAATTTCAATTTTAGAAAAAGGATTCTAAAGGTTTATCAACATTTATGCATTTATGCTTCAACCCTAACTTTGTTTTAATAAAAAATAAGTTGTTCACTAGACAATTATCACACATTTGTATTGATGGTTTCTTTAGTAATATTTCTGTTAAGCTGTTTAAGTTATTTTTACTCATTTATTTTAGACATGTTTTGATTTATTATATTGCAAGCTTGGACTTTCACCAGTTGGTTATCTTTCCAAGTTACTTCCCAAGATTGTTGGAAACTCAATGGTAGATAAATATGTTTTCTTTTCTTTTTTAGTTTTGTTTGTGCTAGTCTATTGTGTTATTATATTTTAAGTCATCAATGAATGTTTAAATTCAACAATTAGGTTTTAGGCTACAGAAAACGTAACTAAAACCACACTTTTCATGTTTAATTAGCAAAAAAAGTTTATTGCTTACTATATCGCTGCCAACCTGGGTTTTAAAAGAAGAAAAGGTAAATAAAAATTTCAAAAATATTATTTTTTATAAAAACATGAGATTTAATAACTTGAAACTTATTGTTTTTAAGCCCGGAATCCCGGGGTCCTTGCTGCCATTATACCTAAGGACTCCAGGTTCAAAAAATGATTGTTCTTCTAACCTTAAAGTCTTTTTTCCTATTAGTAAACTTATTTTTATTTTTAGAGCACTTGGATACTAAAAACTAGGATGAAGTAATCTCTTTGTGACTTTTAAATCTGGAGTCCTTTTTGGGACTCCGTATCCCTGATATATACAGGGCCTATTCTAGGAAAAAAATTTGGGTGGTACCCCTTCATTTCGGCAGACTTTAGCAGAAAATCAGCTGTTTTTTTGGGGGAAAAACATTATTTGCAGTGAAAACGTAAAAAAAAATGTTTAAAAAAAGATCATCAAATTTTAATTTGGACAGTGCCCAAATACAGTCGACACTGTCAAAAAAGTTTTTATAAAAACATATATATTTATATAATATATATATTTTTATAAATAATATTTTTGAAATTTTTATATCCTTTTTTTTTTTTAAAACCCAGGTTAGCAGCGATATAGTTTTACTAATATAATTTTTAAACTTTTTAACATAATTAAAAACGCCTTTACTTGACCGCAGGGTTTTTAAAGTTTGTGATTTGTAGTTATTAAGTTATCAAAAAGAATTGCTAATTTAGAATATAATAATCAAAACCATATTTAAAGTCTCTTATTGTTATTAAGTACTCATTATAAATTTCAATAAAAAAGCCTAACTACATCTTATAATAAAATTGATTTACAAATTGTTAAATATATTACGTGAAATTATTTATCGGTTTATATAAAATAAATGTTATTCAAAGAAATTGATGAACTTTAAGCAGAAATATTTTTGGATTTCATTTATATAAGATTTCCAAAAAATTACATCTAATTTATTAGTTAGTTAGTATGATGATCGCAATGCAACTTTATCGTGTTCCATAGAGCGCCTTTATGGCACTGTGACGGTTTTGTTGGAACCTGTCCAACTGGTTTTTGAATGCTTATAGGGTTCCAGCATTAACAATCTTGTCCGGTAGGCTATTCCAGCTGTTAACAACTCGGTTTGTAAAAAAGTTGCTTCTATTATTATTCTAACTATCGCCTTGATCAGTCGACTTCTATGTCCATGGTGTGGCACAGAACGGATCAGGGTGTGGTCCCAGTTAACTATTTCTTTTCCAGATTCAATTTAAAAAAGTTGAATTAAGTCACCATGGTGATGTCTTTTTTCAACGGTGGTCAAGTCTAAAATCCCTAATCTATTTTCATAAGCTTTATATTGTGGGCTTAGTAGCATGTCTTTGGACTCTCTCCAATACATATATATCCCTAATCGTATGTGGGTTCTAACTTAAAGCAGAGATTTCAAGATGAGGACCCACATTCACTATGTATAATTTTTTCCAAAGTTCTACATTGCGGGAAACAAATGTCTTTTTAAGCATCCCAAGCATCTTGTTTGTTTTAGAAATAGCAGTGCAAACCTGGGTGTTTGAGTTTATTGCTAATTATGATACCTAAGTCACGTTCTGATGAGCTAGATTTCAAATTAAGTCAAATCAACTTATCGACATCGAGCATTGTATGTTTTTTGTTCAAGCGACCAATGTGAAGAATTTTGCATTTGGAGATGTTTAGCTTCATATGCCATGTTCTTGTCCACTCCGGTATTGCTTCAATATCGTTTTGGAGCACAGTACAATCATTCTGCTCTTCATTAAGTCGAATTGGGGCAAGCAGTTTAGTATCATCAACAAGTATTTTACAGATTGAACTAATTATAGTTTGCAAGTCATTTATAAAGATAAAGAAGAGTAGTGGTCCCAATACCGACCCTTGAGGAACACCGCTGGAGACTGGTGCACAGTTTGATACGGCATCGCCTAGGATTACTCTTTATTTACGGTTGCATAAAAAGGATTTCACCCATTCCAGAATTCAACCGTTGATCCCGTATCCTTCTAGTTTCAAGATTAGACTCATGTGGTCCAGACTCATGGCGAAGTCCAGGAAGAGCAAGTCTACCAATAGTCGATTAGCAGATGCTTTTGTTAAGTAGTCCATTGTTTCAAGGTGATTTGTAGAGCACGATTTACGGGGAATGAAACCGTGCTGTTCTTGTGCAATCAAATTATTGTCAACGAGGTGAGCTAAGATGGCTTGCCTTACTATATTTTCTAGTAGTTTGCAAGTAACAGGTGAGGCTGATAGGCCGATAGTTGCTCGGTTCGGTGGTCAAGCTTTTTTTGAATATAGAAGTGATGTTGGCTATTTTCCATGCCGTAGGAGTTTCGCCTTGGTCAAGTGATTGCTGAAATAGTATGGCTAAAGGTTTTGCCCATTCTGATGGACAGCTGTGTAAGACTATTGGATGTATATTATCAGGTCCTTGGGTTTTATTTGGGTTCATCTCACTAATAAGTTTCTCGACTTGATTTGTATTAACGCTAATATTGCTAATTTTTTTGGTAGTTTTGTTAAAAGGTTTGCCAAGTATTGGACTAGACGCTGAATTTAAGACGCTTTCAAACTGTTTGTTGAGAATGTTTGCTTGTTGTTCTTTGTCAGTTGTTATTTGACCGGAGCTGTTTAGTAAAGCGCTAATACCAACTTTAATCTTGTTTTTACTATTTATATACGCCAACAGACGTTTAGGATTTTTTTTATTGCAAGCAAGGTTGAGTTCAAATTTATTTTGTTCTTTTTTGCTGATTTTCTTTAATTTATTTTTTACTTGATTGTAACGTGTTTTTAAATCCTGGTACCTCCATTTATTAGCTGTGTTTAGATGCCATAGTCGTGACTTTAATCTAGATAGTTCCATGACCTCTTTGCTTATCCAAGGCGCTGTGGATTTTCGAGTTAGATGAGGTCTTAAAGTTGGTATTAACTCAATACACAGTTTATGGTAAACAGACATGAAGGTATCATAAGCTTCGTTTATATTTTTGTTGGCTAGGAGAGATGGCCAGTCAATATCTGATAATTTAGCTGACATAGCGGTGAAGTTGCCTTTTCTATATTTTAAATGGGATCTGGTAAATTTATATGCCAAATCGGTCTGAAGAGTATAATTCCAGAGTAGAATCAGGTGAGACTGGCGGGCATAACCTAAGGGGGGCCCTATTCTGATGTTCAACACACTGAGTGGGTTTTCACTTATAATATAGTCAAGCGTGTTTTTTTGTGAGCCATCTGCCGTTGTAAAGGTGGGAAAGAGTACATGTTGAGAAACTCTTTAGCTAACATTTTGATGAAAATGTGCCTAGGGCTGTTGTCAGGTCCAAGCAAATTGGTTGATCCATCTCGAGACCATCTTACATAAGGATAGTTAAAATCGCCAACTACTAGTAGGTCATAAATTTTTTTTTTTCTGACAGCATTTGCAGCCAATTTGATGTTGTTATTTATTTCAGAATCTATTAGATTGTTGTTTTGGTGGTTGACAGTAAGATTTAATTAATTATATATTTAAATTTAATTATATATTTAAATTATAAGTCATATATTAGGTTCATAAAATGTGATAAATTGAAGGAAAAAAGAAAAAATTTTTTAAGGAATTTCTTTTCAAACTTTAAGGAATGTTTTAATTCTTATAATTTGTATTATGTTCATTAGGTTATTATTTTTCAATCCAACAAATTCTAAGTAATGGTTTAATTGACATTTTCTAGGTAATGGTTTCCCACTGTATACTAGATACATAGTTATTCTAAACAATATCTGAATGTTTATTTTAAGAAATGCATTTTTAAATTATGCATATGCAAAGAAAAGAAGTTAAAATAATAACTATTATATACCAAATAAATAAAAGCAAAATCGCAAAACTACTATTGAATATTTAAGGGACGTTTACAAAAACTTTTAAATGATGAAAAAGATAGTTTTTTTAATTTTTTATTATTGCAAAAATGTTAACCAAGTGCAGAAAAATTGTTACATCTCAAGTCATGAATTAAGTTAACATGAATTTCGTTATCTGAAAATATTTCTGGTCTTCAAATTTTTAGTTTATTAAAAGCTGTGAACATAAAATTCAATAACTACTTTACTTGTCTAATTTTTGATCATTTAGTAACAGTTTATAAAATGTTTTTAAAAGTTCATGTTTGTAAACATCCCTTAAAAATTTTTATAGTAGTTTTGCAATTTTGCTTTTATTTATTTGGTATATAATAGTTATTATTTTAATTTCTTTTCTTTGCATATGCTGCCAATTTAAATTGAGAAAATTGTGTCAGTCAAATGATTTCAATTCATAATCTAGTTTAAATAAAAATAGTTAATACAAATATTATATCAGAACTAACTGCGGTCAACCTAATTCTTTATTAGAAGAAAATCCGAATCAAAATTAGAAATACAAAACGTGAAAACTCATTAGCACTTCACTCTCATGACAGAATGAGTTCTTAAACTTCACTCTTACGTTAAAGATATTTTTAATTCAAAACAACAATACAAAAATATAAGAAGAAATTTTAATGATGAAATTATTAACTTGAAAGTAAATGCATTAGAAAGCTTTAATCAAGTGTTTCTATTATCTGAAAATCAATTAAAAGTTAGAAGTAGGTAGAAGATTAAGATTTTCTAAAATTTTAAACTTTAGTGCTAGCAGGTTCAGTAGAGCTTTTCAGTGTTATAAGCATTAAACCAATAATAACAATATTGGTTGATCGATAAAAAGAATAGGCTTGGTTAATTTCATTATTAATAACATTGAAAAGAGTGTAATTTTAGGGATAAGAAAAATGAACTTGATGAAAGATGGTATGGTTCATTATTTTGCAACAAGTGAATTGATGCATAAGTATATTCACATGCCCTGGCCACAAGCGTGTGCTGGAGTATTTGCAAATAGAATAATAGTCATCAACACTGAAATCTAAAAATGAAGCTCAGTTTGATTGGTATCACAAAGACCAAGTAGGTCTGTTAAATTTGGTCTGGTAAATTTTGTAGGAGGTTTTATTTTGATGGTAATGATAGTTTCATATTTTTATTTAGTCGTGATTTAAGTTTATGAAATTTATTTTTGGGACTTGGTGATAAGAATAAGTTTATCTTCTTCTAGCCCCAGTAATGTAAATAGTTTTTATAATTTAGGATCATAAATTATTTTCTTATTGGCAAATAAATACACACCAAAAAACTTAAAGTGAAGACTAAAGCAAATACTAATTAGCATTTTTGAGACTGAAGCAGATAGTATTTAGCACCTTAAGTAATAATATCTGCAGTTGCGTTATTCCTTCTAATCAGCTCAAAGTTGTGACATGAGGCTTTGTGTGTGGTTTCAACAATGCGCACCACACATTACCAGGGACACCATCCATTTCTAAAATGGCACCGTTAGTACTCATATTTTACAGCATGGAATCAGTTTTTATTGGGATCTACCAAACATTAAAGGAAACCTCACACCAGCTAGCTTTAGAACCATTAAAGAGTTTTTACTGTAACCTCATAACAGAAGGAGTTGCACTATAGAAGCCACTACCATGGTATTCTATTAGTTTTAAAATCTCATTTTTGTATAAGTTTATCAGTTGATATCAACGTTTAAGCTCAAGATATCATGAGATTGACATAGAAATTTTGAGCAACTGACTTTCATCCATAAATTTCATACATATAAAGAAAACCACTACCAAATAGACAAAAGAAAAAACCCATGAGTACAGTCAACAGGATCTAGCATTGAAATGTTACACAGACTTACACCTATGCCAGCCTATTAGGTGAAGAAGCGTGGGAAACTTGTCTACAGAAATTATCAGCTTAAGCTTAAAGTTTTTGTCTGGAAATTTTTTTTTTTTCAAGATAATTACTTGATGCAGTTTACAGTTAAGCCCAAGGTTTTTGTTACCCAAGATAAGCATTTTTGTTAAGACACTTAATCAACCATTAATTATTTAACCAAATGCCATAAAGCAGGGGAGTAAATCAAAGTTAGCTTCTTCTAGCTTTCTTTAAATATCAAGTCGTTCAAGGCATCAAGACATGTGGCAGGTACAATCAAGACATGTGGCAGGTACAATCAAGACATGTGGCAGGTTGAATTTCATGTCACAAGTAACAAAGTGGTTATGATGATCCTGAGTTAACTAAGTTGTTATGACGATCCTAATTTAACTCTTAAATCAGAATCATGTTGTGGCTAAAATGGCTAAGTTTTTTTTGTTTATTTATTACTTATTAGAAGCCTCTGTCTGATGTTTGCTATGCTACATACTACATTTTTACAATTCAAGATTATGAAATTAAATAAAAAAGGTCTGGAGGCTGTATTTATTGTATTGTTAAATGGATATTGTAAATTTTTTCAATAAAACATAATTTTTACAATTATGAATTGTGAGTTTTTAAAATTAGGTTTTCAGAATATAAGATCAAGTTATATAATTATTTATTTGTGTGTGTGTGTGTGTGTGTGTGTGTGTCTCTATATATATATATATATATATATATATATATATATATATATATATATATATATATATATATATATATATATATATATATATATATAATATTTTATATATACAAACATATTATGTTACTTAATAATTACTATTTTTATTAGATTGTATCATTCTTTTTATTATACTTATCTGATGTAGGCATTATCAATGCTATATATGGGTAAAAGATACAATGCTGTAACTGCTTATGATCGTGGTTTGATATCAGATATTTTTGGATTAAACTCATTTCAAGAAGATATAAGCAAGTGTATGGCAAACTTAACAGTTGTTTCTATGCAGGTTCTTTTTAAAAATTTATTTCAAATTAAATTCTAAGTATCTAAAAATAAAAAACTTTATATTTTTATCAAAAAGTGCATCAATATGTTTGAAAACATTTGTTTACAATGTCACAATGTTTGTTTACAATTGTTGTTGTACACAAAAAAGTTACAATGTTTGAATACATTTTTTTAAATTGGTCAGTTAATTTTTTATTTTTTTTTTTGTTAATTTTATTTCAAGTTTTATTATTATTGACTGATAATGTTCTTTTCCTAACTTTTTTTTATTATTATTACTTTAAAAGATAAAATTTGTTTCAAGTAATTTGAAAAAAAGTGTTAATTTATTTTTAAAAAATGTTTGATATTTCATTCTAGGCGCTTATTTCAACAAAAAAGCTGCTCAATCATTTCGACATATCTCGGATCGAAGAAATCTGTGGTGAAGAATTAAACTGTTATCATGCTCTTATTTTAACGAAAGAATGTAAATCGAAAATAAAAGAAGAGTGGCCAAGTCTTGTAAGTTTACCAAAAGAAGATATATAAATTCAAGCAAGTTGGTTGCGTCGACATGCCCTAAATCTTTCTTTCATATTTCATGTTTTTCCCTCCTGTAATGTAATGTGATTTCCGGAACTCTTGGTGTAATAAAAAAATAAGATTTGAGGATCTTTCGATATCCTGATCTTAAATAGTAAACGTTCAAATCTACTTATAAACTCATATAAAGATGAGATTTTTAACTTAAATTTTTTAGTCGGATAGCGTTTTACTCATAAAATAATAGTTTCTGTGTTCTTCTCGTGAAATATATTTATTAAAGCACTTTTATTAATATGTACTCAGTAAAAATGTTTTGCCGTCAAAGAAATTGAAAAAATTTTCCACCTGGACCATATAAATAATATAAATATTCAAAGGTTTCTAGAGAATTGTACATTCTAACCATTTAAAACCAACTTATTTATTACTTAACCAATACAAGTCTTATCTCGGATAAACCTTTCTCGTGTAAAAATACTACTTATTTTTAAACAGTAATATCAAATTTTAAATTCTCTATACATATTTTTGTTATTTATATCTTATTACTATTTAGGTGCTCCAAGAAAACTTAAGGTGTTATTACTGAGCACCGCGCAAAAGCATTTAATCGAAAGGCTCGTGTCTTTTTTATCACTAATCTTGCTTATCTTGCCGGAGACGATTTCTGAACAAGAACTTTTAACACTGCTCCACAGCGTTTTAGCAGCAGTAGTTAGAGCGTCGGACTCGTATTCTTCGTATTCAATCTAATAAATTATATATCCAATGGGTTCAATAATGATTGCTATACATTATGAGTTTTAATTGATTTGTCTAAAGCATTTGACACAGTTAACCAAGATATTCTTATAAAAAAAACTAAAATTGTCCGGAATAGTAAAGAATAGCTATGGTTTTAAAAGTTACCTGTCGAATAGAAAACGTTACATATATACAGCAAATGAAACAGAAAAACATATAATATGTATTGCGATGTTCCCCATGGATCAATTTTAGAGCCGCTATTATTCCTACTCTATATAAACGATTTATATCCAAAATTTTAAATGTTATTTTATTTCTGATGATTCGAATTTTTTTTATTCAAACAATAATGTAAAAGATCTGATTAGAATATCTAACGAAGAACTATTAAAATAAATGACTAGAGAACAAAAATAAACTTTCATTAAATGTTGAGAAAACTAAATTTATCTTATTCCACAAACTAAGTAGGGAAGATAACCTTTCTTTAAAATTACCCTATCTCTTAATGAATAACACAGTTAAAGACTACCTGGGAAGAAACGGCAGGGTCACATTTTTTCATTTTGAGAAAACTCAATATTAAACTTTAAATTTTATGTAACCTTTGAATTTTTATTTTTTTGCAATTAAAGTTATATTTCCAGGTCACGTGCAATAACATTCATTTTAGACTATCTTTTTTAAGTGAAGTTTTTTTTTGACCCTGCTGTTTTTTCCCCGGTATAACGACTGTATTCGTTTTTTTTTACTAATTCATAAACTAAATCATTAATTTTTTTAGTTAAAGTAACTCAACAAAACAGTTCTATCTTCTCTTTTAACAAATTCGAAGCATTTTAACCTTTTACAATTACATTTAAGCCCTGTTTTATGAGATGCTAGCCTTTGTTTTTCTATACGCGCAATTTTTCTTTGTTTTTGTTTTTTCTTGGATTTTTGTGTTACTTGTTTTAATGGTTCAAATGTCGCCATTTTTAGTAATAAACATTAACCGAATCATCTGCGAGTATTATGAAAAAAAGGAGCATTTGATCTAAGTCTTGGTAATACAGAGTAGTGTTTGGTTTATGTCTTTTAGTATGTTTCGATTGTTTAAAAACTTGTTTTTTCGGGGAGGTAACTATTTGTATGTTAAAAAAGAGACGCATAACTCCATCAAACTTTAAACATACATAATTAAAGTTATATTCAATTATTTGATTCAAAATCAATTACAAAAGATTGTTCTGTAGTTTATAAAGCTAGAAAATTAAAGTCAAAATTTTCAAAATGTAAACCTGCCGTTTCTTCCCGTGGAGTCATCAGTTATGAAAAGAGAGTCAACTGTTAACGTTCTAGGAGTGATTATAGATAAAAATATGTTTTGGAAATATCATATTAAATCTATTGAAAACAAAATCTCCAAAAATATCGTAATGTTATATAAAGTTAACTTAGAATAAAGGTTTGCTACCTTTAATATGCGGAGTCATAAACTCATTAAGTGCTGATTCCTGTAGCCGTCCACTGTTATAAGTCTATTGAGTTTCCTAAGAAAAAAAAAATAAAAAAATGTAATTTAATTTGAGGAAAGCGTGTCAGTCCGGAACTGAAGTTCACTCTCTGAGATTCTGTTTGTGAACTGAAATTCATTCAGTTCACAAACAGAACTATACATTCTACTGTTTTATTTTAGGTTTTCTACTGTTAAAATATAATTTTTATTTTGTAAATTTAATTTGAGGAAAGCGTGTCAGTCCGGAACTGAAGTTCACTCTCTGAGATTCTGTTTGTGAATTGAAATTCTGTTTCTAAAAGAAACACTTCATAGAGCTCGTACTTTTCACTTATTGCTTATTTTTTAAAATATTGTTTTCAAAAATTCGTTAAAGATTCTGTTTCATATATCGAGTTTAAATAAAATAAGGTTGGTAAAAGTGTTATATTTTCTAAGTTTGTTTTTGTTTTAAAAAAGTGATTTTAAAATCTCTTTTTAATAAAAATTTTAGTTAACAGATTTCATTATAGTAAAATTGTTCCGTATTGGTCCTCGATACGTCATGTCCGACCTTTTATAGTTTTCGGGTTAATTTATGAAAAAGTTTATTTAAACTAAAATAATATTAATCATTAAATTTTGTTGGAGTAAAGTAATTAAAAATATACACTGTTCATGAGCTGAAATACATAAATTTCATATACATTGATAAAAAAAATAACGAAAAGTCTTTGAAAACAAAATTAAAAAATACGACTAATAAATTAAACAATTATAATAAATTATATATTTTATAATAATAAGTTATAAGGATTTTTTTACAATAATAAATTATAAGGATTTTTTTCTCTATACTACATTCATTAAAAACATTCTGAACTAAAACCAAAATGTAATCTAAACACGTGCAGGTATCAATTTAACATTTGGAAGAAGTGCACAGTGGGTCAGAAGTCGGCAAAACCTAAAACATAAAGTTTAAAAAAACTTTTTTTTTTTTTTTTTTAATATAGGTTAAATAAGTCTAATATACGAAAATAATATTATTTATGATAATAGATTATGATTAAATAGAAATACTTGGCCGCAAACTACTCCAGTTCCGTCAGCAAGCAATGTTGAAAATTATTCATTATTTTTTCTAAATATTGCCGTTTATTTTTACATGCTTCCTGCTTTAAAAGGTAGGAAAATTTTATGCTATATTTTTTGAATTTGTATATAGATGTATAATTTATCCTCAAAATATCATTATAAAAAATATAACAGTATTTTTTTATGCCTAACTGTACAGGCTGTTTTTTAAATTATGTAAATTCTTTTTTTCTTTGTTGGTGTTTAAATAGTAGTGTATTAAGCAATATTAAAGATATGTTGCAGCTGTTTTCATAAGTACTTGATGTGTACTACTATTATCAAGCAAAATATTTTGCCAGTTTTTGCCAGTCTAGAGTGAGCAATGATTTTAATATGTAATAATTGTAATTTTTATAAACCGGCCGTGTTGTTATCTCATTAATATAATTTTTATAGTCCGGACGGACTATACTATTTATTGGCGAATATTTAAGAGAACATAATAATAAGAAAGAAAATATAATAATAATAATAATAAAAAAATATTATTAGACAATATATTCCTTTTGTATATATCTGTTCATATTGGGCATAAAATATTACAGTAGGTTGCCTAGTTTTTAACAAACACATGCTCATTATTTTGTTTGTACATTTAATCTACTCTCTCTCTCTTTCCCTCTCTCACTCTCTCTCTCTCTCTCTCTCTCTCTCTCTCTCTCTCTCTCTCTATATATATATATATATATATATATATATATATATATATATATATATATATATATATATATATATATATATATATATATATATATATATATATGTGTATATATATATATATATATATATATATATATATATATATATATATATATATATATATATATATATATATATATATATATATATATATATATATATATATATATATATATATATATATATATATATATATATATATATATATATATATATATATATATACATATATATACACACATTATTATATATATTATTATATTATCTATTCTTATATTAATAGATGTTCTTTTTAATTTTAGATGAATAGAAGACAGTTATACATTTATATTAAAGAAACTGACTGTAATAAAAATGATTTACTTTGTAAACTGGTTGAGTATGTGGAAAATGTTTCACCAAACACATTTTTAGATATAAAGCCAACATTATCATCATTTGTTCATCAATACAAACGTAAAATGACAACTGTAAAAAGGGAGTATACTCAATTTGAAAATAAATATGCTACTTGGCTAGATGCTATTATTTCTTTTAAACTAATAAAAGCTGTTACTCCTGAAAAAAATTATGGTGGAAGACCAGAAACACCTTTTAACAAATCTTCAATACGATCAAAGGACAGAAAAGTTTCTAACATTATACATATGTACTCTACTAACGAAATATTATATGCAGCTTCAAGGTCATTAAAAAAAGATGGGAGAAATGCAGAGGCTATCAGTGTCAAAAGTATTTTATATACCCCTCAAGCAAGTCTTTTTTCTGACAAAGCACTAGCACTCTTCTTAGATGCTAATCTGTCAAAGGCAACATACCAACTTCTCCGCAACAATGCTTTGGATCTAGATTCAGCTATTTATCCAACATACCATGATTTAAAGAGTGCAAAAGACAGATGTTATCCAGATGATGTTATAATCTCTGATTACTCAGCAGAAATTCCGTTGCAGTCTCTACTTCAGCACACATCACAACGACTTTGTGATTCTCAGATAGAAGTGCTGACTGCTGATTCCCTTAAAATCTTTAAAAAACTTACACTTAGATCAAAAATAGGATT